TGTGATTTGTCTCGTCACGATTGGTCTGCCGTTGTACTTTTTGGAAGTTGCCATGGGTCAGTTCATGTCCAGGGGAGCTTATCATGTATGGAATATATGTCCTCTTTTCAAAGGTAAACGTTTAGTATGCTTGTTAGCATACGTATATTTTATAGAATGTAAAACATTCAGTGTAGATTTATTGTTTTTCTTCACATATACAATTTAAGTTTTATCTGTTGTCGTGTAACGCTCGTTTTATGAAATGCATTTCTTTGATTCTTATAACTATTGAACGGCTTGGCCTAGCGATGGGGCGCTTGACTGCTAACCCGCAATCCTTGAGTTTAAGTAAGTAGAACATCCCTGAGTCTACCCAGCTCTGATGGGTACCCAACCCACGTTATGGAAAGTATAGGCTGCTACGCATAGTGCTGACCACACTATCCCTTCATATGACGAGGTCATAAAAATAGATGAACTCTACTTCACTTACCCCATGGGCTGTCAGGTTCGAAAATGCAGCTTTATTTTTCCTTGAAACTATTAAAATTTACCACACGTTTTAAAATTAATAACTATTTACCCCTAACATTAATAATACCACTCAGACAATATTACGTCAATTATTATAGGGATAGGGATTGCTCAGGTAATCGTGAATCTCATGTGTTCCTGGTACTTCCTCATCATCATCGCCTGGATCCTCATCTATCTGGTCAACTCCTTCAAGTCGCCCCTCCCCTGGACACTGTGTGGACAAGAGTGGAACTCTGACCGCTGTGTGCCGCAGGGGAGTCGGGTCCTGCTCTACAACACCAGCACCATCTTCTACAACAGCAGCAGCAACAGCTACAACATCAGCAGCAACAACTACAACATCAGCAGCACCAGCTACATCAACGGAACTCATAGTTCCAGCCAGAACCGGAGCTCCCATGAAACAGACGGACGTTATATCACATTCAATGGCTCATTGGACAACTCAGATCTAAGACCGGCTAGTGAAGAATTTTGGAAGTAAGTTAAAGTTGTTTATTAATTTTTTTATTGTTAAAATATCACAAGCAGGTAGATTTAGCTGTAGTAAGAAATTGTTTTACATTACACCTTTACACTACATTACAAAACGACGGGCAAAGGAAGAGAATAGATTAATTAACTTATATTTATTTTTTTTATATATATATATATATATATATATATATATATATATATATATATATATATATATATATATATATATATATATATATATATATATATATATATATATATATATGTATATATATATATAAGAGTCGTCCTTTATTCTAAGAGGTAAATTAAGCCCCTTTGTATGTAAAAAAAAAAAGTGCTCACATACTATATTTGCCTCTATGGAACAAAATATGATTAGAATATCGTATTATTTATTGGGTTTAATATTGTGTAGTATAGAATTAATTGTCAGTGGATTGTGAATACTAAAGAAATAAGAAGAAATAAGAAATTGTGAATTTTTTTGGCAATGTTTAGCGATTAGAATTAAAGTGAAGTTTTAAAATGATTTTCGTGTTACTCCTCAAACTTGCATGTCTGTTGGGTGCACATTTTAGTTTTTGTAAATTTAAAACGAATGCACTGTATACTCACAATCTCTTTAAGAAATAACGTATTGGAGCTTTCTTCTGGACTGACCTCAATGGGTGGCCTCCCCTGGCACACGACACTAGCCCTGTTGGTCTCCGCCATTTTGGTGTACTTGTGCCTGATCAACGGTGTCAAGTCTGTTGGGAAGGTGGGTCTCCGTTGTGTACAGTTTGTTGGTATATCAGCGATAACCAAAGGCTTGTGGGGAGTTCGAAGCCGGGTTCAAGTCAGCGGAGTCCACTCAGCTCTGTTGATCCCGAACTCATGTTAGGGAAAGTAAAGAGAAAGTAACACCTCATTCCTTTATTATTTCTCGAAAACTTATCTCCTCTGAGATAACCTGTTGGTTCGAGAGTCTCGAGTTCGAATCTCGGCTTAAAATCGGTAGAACGTCCCTTAGCACAGTTAGGGAGAGTAAAGGCTGTTGGCATAGTGCTGAATACATTATCCTTTCATATGGCGAGGTCAAGAAACATGCGAACTCTTCTTCATCTGTCTAATGGATTGCTGGGTGTAAAGAGGAATCTTTAGTTGTTTTTTTTTTACAACTTCTGGGGGGGGGGGGGAGTAGTGGATGTTTAGTGCAACCTACTCAACAGATACGTCACTTTACCCACTGTTTCTAAACACGTTACGCTGTTGCTCATGATTCTTGCTTGTTGAAATATATCTAAATGTAAGTTTGTGAATTTAAAATAGATTTAAAAAGAAAACACAGAGAGAAAAATTCATTTGATATTTCTTCCAGGTAGTGTACGTGACTGCCACCTTGCCGTACATACTGATTACAGTTTTAATTATTAAAGGTGCGACATTGCCTGGTGCAGTGGACGGTGTGCTCTTTTACATCTGGCCGGATTTCAGGTAGGCCTATGTTGTTACGGTGTAAATAGTTCGCTAACTCAAACAGTTAAATTGTTGCGTATAAATAAATTGAAAAGTAACAATAACAAGAAGAAGAAACACGTTACTTTTAAGTAATGTGGCAAACATGTTATTGGCGCCTAAATATATATATTATTTTCAAATATTAAAAATAGAAAATGTGTATATATTTTACGCTGAACTGTATTTAAAAGTCTATGGTTATTACTGTTTATGTGTGTCTTCTTCTTCGTTCTTAATTATTAGTGTTGGAAGGGATCGAGCCTTATCTGCCAGAGGGTTTGAACTTGAGACTTTTTTCGAATTTATCAACCATGAGCTTTTTTGCCGACTCGACCACGCCTCCATCACAATTAAGGATACGTGTCACCTGGTTAAGCGCCATTGAGGCCATTGACTCCGATTTCAGCCTGCGTTTCTTATTGGATTTGCTACAAGGCAGCAGTTGTTTAATTTTTGAGTTGTCTCTCCTAGAAGTGGCTGTCCCCAGCTAACGAGCCTCATCTGCCCGAACTCGAGACTTTATGGTTTAGCAAACATAAGCTTTACCGACTCGACCACGCCGACCCCTTATGTGTCATCAGTTGTCTCTCCTAGAAGAGTGGCTGTCCCCAGCTAACGAGCCTCATCTGCCCGAGGGTTCGAACTCGAGACTTTACGGTTTAACAACCATGAGCTTTACCGACTCGACCACGCCGACCCCTTATGTGTCATCAGTTGTCTCTCCTAGAAGAGTGGCTGTCCCCAGCTAACGAGCCTCATCTGCCCGAGGGTTCGAACTCGAGACTTTACGGTTTAGCAACCATGAGCTTTACCGACTCGACCACGCCGACCTCTTATGTGTGTCTAGTATTCCAGTATTGTCCATATTTGTCAAACATCTTAGTATTATCAAGGAGTTTAATATTCTACTATCGTCCATCCAGTAAACTTCTAGTTGTCCAGACTTGGCTAGAGGCCAGCCTACAAGTCGTCTACTCCCTGGGCCCAATATGGGGAGCCCTAGCCACAGTTGCTAGTTACAACAAATTTAACAATAACTGCTTGAGGTAAGGTCTCCATGAGTCCATTAGTATAACACTTTTGGATCATGGGTACAGGGGTAATGTAAGACAACACCTGACGGTCCATGGGGCAAGTGTAGTAGAGTTGACCTGTTTCTGTGAGCTCGAAGTATGAATAGATAGTGTGGTCAGCACTATGCCCAGCAACCTTTACATTCCCTATTGTGAGTTAGGCACCCATCAAAACTGGGTGGACTCAGGAACATTCTACTGATTTGAACCCGGAATTTGAACTTGAGACGTTCGAGTTAGCAGTCTAGAGCTCTACCGCTAAGCCACGCCACCCACAGAACATGACTGTACTGGTCATCCAATCGGTTTCTATGAACCACCTAATCTCGAAGGAGAGCCAGTTTTCGTAAAATTGCAAAGGCATAAACTGTTTCTTTCAACATCTCAAGGGAGGGAGAGTGGGGGAACGGGTCTACGACAAATTCCCGAATGGACACTTGCCCGAATGCGATAAATGCCCGAATGGACACTTGCCCGAATGGACACTTGCCCGAATGCGACAAATGCCCGAATGGACACTTGCCCGAATGCGACAAATTCCCAAATGCCCGAACGGACAGTTGCCCGAATGCGACAAATGCCTAAATGCCCGAATGCAACCCTTTTTCACCTTGTATTCCACAGGGACTCTGTAATGTTGACGCTGGTGTGTGAAGGTACCAGTCTCTTTGCGGGGTTCGCCATCTTCTCCATCGTGGGTCACATGGCTTACAACCTAAATGTACCAGTCGAGAAATTCGCTGATACTGGTATAAAAAACAACTTTAAAAAAATTATTAAAATAACAAGCTTTTAAAGGCACTGAAAATAAGGAAACTTGGTTGCATAATTGTGTAGGAGGTATCTTTTTTTAATTGGGCTAATTTTAATTACGATACCCACACAACTAAAATACTTGCTTTAAGCCCTACCAGTAATTTAGTTAAAGTCTATCAGTAATTTATTCTAAACGATATTTATAAGCCCCATTGTCGATTCAGAAGTCGACACTCAGTTGCGAAAACTTCAGTGAAAACAACTCATCCGATTGATCAAATAAAATCATTTACTAATTAATCTAGCTATCTCCCTTATTTAATGAAATGAGTAATCAAATTAACTTTCAATGAGAAATTTAATCAGAAGTATATCAGAAGTGCGTCATAATTAAATAATTTACGACAGACTTTGTAATCCAAATAAAAGCTTATAAAACGTATACTTTTTGGTTGGGAAAAGTATCTGTAAATAAAAAGGTCTTATAGTTTAAAATATTATACATCTGATATTTTGTTTAGGGAATTAACAAAAAATAGACAGGGGCAGATTTACAGATTGTATAGACAGCAAAAAAATATGAACTTCTATTTCTAGGTCCTGGTCTAGCGTTTGTTGTCTACCCTGAAGCCATCGCTTACCTCCCTGTACCACAGTTGTGGGGCGTCTTGTTTTTTCTCATGTTGTTTACTGTCGCCCTAGACTCGCAGGTAAGACCAAAAAACACACAATTTTTTTTACCAATGTGTGTTCACGCTTTGTGAGGAAGGGGTTTTAAGAATCCTTACATGAATAGTCGGTAAAATGATCACCACATTATGATTAAAGAGATCAGCACATAAATACCAAAGCGATCATCACACACACACACACATATACATAGTTTTATTTTGGGGGGGGGGGGGTGAAAGGGCGGGGAACGGGAATGAAGGCGGCCGTTCCCGGCAGTTCCCCAAGATAGTCCGTCAGTTCCCGAAGATAGTCCGGCAGTTCCCCCATATAGTCCGGCAGTTCCCCCAGATAGTCCGGCAGTTCCCCAAGATAGTCCGGCAGTTCCCTAAGATAGTCCGATTGTTCCACAAGATAGTCCGGCAGTTTCCCAAGATAGACCGGCAGTTCCCCAAGATAGTCCGGCAGTTCCCCAAGATAGTCCGGCAGTTCCCCAAGATAGTCCGGCAGTTCCCCAAGATAGTCCGGCAGTTCCCTAAGATAGTCCGGCAGTTCCCCAAGATAGTCCGGCAGTTCCCTAAGATAGTCCGGCAGTTCCCCAAGATAGTCCGGCAGTTCCACAAGATAGTCCGGCAGTTCCCCAAGATAGTCCGGCAGTTCCCTAAGATAGTCCGGCAGTTCCCCCATATAGTCCGGCAGTTCCCCCATATAGTCCGGCAGTTCCCCCATATAGTCCGGCAGTTCCCCAAGATAGTCCGGCAGTTCCCTAAGATAGTCCGGCAGTTCCCCAAGATAGTCCGGCAGTTCCCCAAGATAGTCCGGCAGTTCCCCAAGATAGTCCGGCAGTTCCCTAAGATAGTCCGGCAGTTCCCCAAGATAGTCCGGCAGTTCTCTAAGATAGTCCGGCAGTTCCCCAAGATAGTCCGGCAGTTCCCCAAGATAGTCCGGCAGTTTCCCAAGATAGTCCGGCAGTTCCCCAAGATAGTCCGGCAGTTCCCTAAGATAGTCCGGCAGTTCCCCAAGATAGTCCGGCAGTTCCCCAAGATAGTCCGGCAGTTCCCCAAGATAGTCCGGCAGTTCCCCACGATAGTCCGGCAGTTCCCTAAGATAGTACGGCAGTTCCCTAAGATAGTCCGGCAGTTCCCCAAGATAGTCCGGCAGTTCCCTAAGATAGTCCGGCAGTTCCCCAAGATAGTCCGGCAGTTCCCTAAGATAGTCCGGCAGTTCCCTAAGATAGTCCGGCAGTTCCCCAAGATAGTCCGGCAGTTCCCCAAGATAGTCCGGCAGTTCCCTAAGATAGTCCGGCAGTTCCCCAAGATAGTCCGGCAGTTCCCTAAGATAGTCCGGCAGTTCCCCAAGATAGTCCGGCAGTTCCCTAAGATAGTCCGGCAGTTCCCTAAGATAGTCCGGCAGTTCCCCAAGATAGTCCGGCAGTTCCCTAAGATAGTCCGGCAGTTCCCCAAGATAGTCCGGCAGTTCCCCAAGATAGTCTGCTTCTCCTTATGTCTTTTTCTGCTGTACGCCTCGGTCTCCCTTGGTCTTCCCTGATTACTTTTTCCTTAAGGTAATGCCTCCATTACCGTAATCAAAGAAACATATAAACTGTACTCTTTCTATCCTAAGGGCTCAAAGAAAGTATTTTTGTACCTACGTTATGTGGAAGCAAAGGTGTACATTAAGAGTTCCCCCTCCCAAGCCCCCCCCCCCCCCCCCTCTCTCTATCTACATTGTTTCGAAGTACATAGGTCCTTTTGGTTTTGAATATATATAGTTAACGGTTAATTTGGAATTTTTAATACCAAACCATTTAAAATCAATTTTAAAAAATTTACATCACTTTTTTAATAATCAACATCAACTTTAAAAATTGATTACAAATTAAAATTAAACATTGTATTCAGTCCATTATTGTTATCTAGTTATATACGCATGTTTTCACCAGTTTGTTACTGTGGAAATAGCCTTGACCGTTATTTTCGACATCCGCCCAGACTTGGCGGGGAAAAGAGGTTTTTGGATTAAAATAGCTTTCGCTGTTTTAACTTTTATTACCGGTTTGCCTTTTGCTGCGAGGGTAAGTACAATTATTATTTAGTAAATATAAATTAATTCATTACTTTTTTGTTTCATTTTTTTAAACAACCGGTTTAACCTCTAAAACAATCATGCAAAGGTTTAACAATTTCCAACAAAAACGACCAAACAGAACACGATATTTTTATTTTTATTTTTGCATGGTAAGAAGTAAATTATGATAATTGGTGCTTAAATCAATACTGAAATCAGCTGAGTATATTATCAAAGAACTATATGGTTTCCTATTCATGTATTATGTGACCCGCAGGGTGGCATATATTTGTTTCAAATCTTTGACTGGTACGTTTCTGCCGTTACTGCTCTGTTCATCGGTGGCCTGGAGTGTGTAATAGTGGCCTGGATATACGGTAAATACACTACACATCTCAGGGAATTTATGGTCGGATGGTAGAGCAGAGACGTCGCGTGGTTGGGTGTCACTCGGTGCGGGACCTCATGGTGTCATCCCCCCCCCCACCCCGAAGAAAAATTTGTATATATATATATATATATATATATATATATATATATATATATATATATATATATATATATATATATATATATATATATATATATATATATATATATATATATAAACATATATATATAAACATATATATATAAACATATATATATATATATATATATATATATATATATATATATATATATATATATATGTATATATCGTAAATATATAGCCTATAGGGTCGGAGTGGTTTAGCGGGTGGGTAAGCACATGGTTGCCAACCCAAAAGTCCCAAGTTTGAACCCTCGGAGAGACAACTCCAAAATCAAACAGGAGTGGAGCCCCTCATGCGATAGGATTTTCAAGCTGATTCCAAGCTGCACGGGCAGGCAAGCCCTGTCCCTTGGGTAAATCAGCTGTGCGGAGAGAGGTGGCCTAATGCATGAGCAAAACCTGGCTCTTCTCAACTGAGGGCCTTGGCTTAGTGCTTGGATTTTCAATGCTCTACCATCCGATTAGTCTACAAGACTAGAGAGACATATATATATATATATATATATATATATATATATATATATATATATATATATATATATATATATATATATATATATATATATATATATATATACGTTACTAAAAGTAATTAATATCAAGTCATCTTAAATATTTCAGGGGCAGAGAGAATGCTGGACGATATTTTCTTCATGAGTGGTAAAAGACCGCCGTATATTTTTGTTATCTTGTGGAAATATGTAGACCCTGTTTGTTATTCGGTAAGTTTAGTTATCAGAGTTTCTTCCAGGCATCTACCGCCCCCCCCCCCCCCCCCGAGAAAAAAAGTCTGGAAGAAACAATGTTAGTTATGCGTAGAGCAATTTTTATGGAAATATATGGACCCTGTCTGTTATCTACTTTTTCCATTTAATTACATATGTATTTAATTATTCATTAAAAAACATTTACAGTACTAAAATAAAAAAGGGGAATAACAATGTTAAGAAGGAGCGGTCACTCGATCAGTCTTGTGAAATATGTTCAAGTGTGGTTTTCAAATCGATGAGCAGAACACGGACATAAATCAGGGGCAGATAACTGTCGTTTAGGTTTTAAAACAAGTAATTTCAGAACAATCGGGATAGAAGGAACGAGCCGGCCCGCGGCATAACATACGCCGCTATTTAGTTGTTGTTTTTTCTACTTTTCAGTAATTCAAAATTTGTGAATTCGACAGTACCAACGCTGCCACTGAAAATATTTCTTTAAAACACTATAAGTAGCTCGTTAAGGACCATAACCCCCCCCCCCCTTTCCTTCCCCCCCCCCTACGTTTAAAATCGTTGGCTCTGCTTGTAAACATTTAGAGTGAACACAGCTCACTAAAACCATGTAGGGGTGGGGAGGTAGGGAGCGCGTTTACAGCTTGTTTTCTAGGCGCGTTTGCAGCTTGTTTTCTAGCGGCTCCCAGAAGAGAATTATATATATACGAGCCGACCCGCTGCGTATCATACGCCGCTATTTAGTTGTTTTTTTTCTACTTTTCAGTAATTTATAATTTGTGAATTCGACAGTACCAATGCTGCCATTGAAAATATCTGCTTAAAAACACTACCCCCCCCCCCCCCCCCACGTGAAAGCAGCCTCCTCTTAGTTACCTCCTCTAAGTTTAAAATCGTTTCAAACTAAATTATCTGCCCCTAATAGCCGTCACCAAACCCGTCTCTGTGATTGTAAAATGTAAACAGAGTGAACACCGCTCACCAGATCATGTGGGGGTGGGGTGGGGGTGGTAGTGATAGTGATAGAGAGGAAGAGAGAGGACTGCAAAGGCGCGCTTGCAGCTTGTTTTCTAACTGATCCCAGAAGAGAATTATATATATAGATAGATAATACGGTTGGCTATTAATTAATTTTAAACTTAAATGTTGTGTTACAATCGTATATTTACAACTATTTGAAATAAATTACTTTAATAGCATTAAATCGCTTTTAAAATGATAAAATAATAACATGAAATGAACTTGTATTTACATAATATTTTAAAAAGATAATTACCCAGCGCTGGCTAAATGTTTTCTACACAGGAGTTAATTAGAACTATTCGGTCAGTAGCTTACAAATGTGTATTTCCTCACATAGGCCTAACTAGTGCTGATATCTGCATTGGTAGGGGGGGGGTTATGGGGCAATAACTTTAACATTAAAACCACCAGATAATAGAATAGGTTCAATCCCACCAATTAAGGGGACTAAAATTGCGTTTAAAAAATTCACATAAAATATGCTGCTGTTCTGACTAAATGGATTGTATCATTTATAGGAGAATTTTGATGGTATAAGTATAGCTCGCCTTTTTTAACAGTTGCCTCAAAATATATCAATGCTTTTTAAAAAGTAAAAACAAATGTAGGTTAGATCTGCTTTCACCTCCCTCAGCTGCTGTTTTGTGCGTCCCTGGCGACCTACGAGGCGCCCGTGTTTGACGGCTACATCTACGGTCCTGGTGAAATCGCCTTCGGTTGGTTCATAGCCGTCTTCTGGTTCCTGCCTATCCCGGCAGTTGCGGCACTACAGGTGGCGAGGTCGTCTGGAAGTCTGAAACAGGTGGGTCCACAGGTGGCTGACACAGGTGGGTGTACAGGTGGCTGAAACAGGTGGGTGTACAGGTTCATGAAACAGGTGGGTGCACATGTTCTTGTGACAGGTGGGTGCACAGGTTCATTAAACTGGTGGGTGCACAGGTTCTTGAGACAGGTGGGTGCACAGGTTCATGAAACAGGTGGGTCCCCAGGTTCATGAATCAGGTTGAATTTCAGGTTGAGTTAAACTAGCTTAAGAACTGGAATAAGTAAATAATTTTCCTTGGGGAGTGAGGGTGGTGGAAATTGAATTTATATAATTTCTATACCTTTTTTTTTCTATTTTCACTGGTCTGGTAGTTAGAATTATCTTCTTGCACCATGCTCCAGCATACATTTGACTGCTCACCTTTCCTTCAGAGATTACGTCATACGTGCTCACCCTCTGCTGAATGGTGCCCTGGGGACGTGACGCGCAGGGAGGAGTACAAAACCTACACACGTCATGTGTCAACCACTGGACCCACCCTACACAGCCGGTGTTAGCGCTGATGAATATTTACAACATTAAATAAATTTAAATTTTTAAAAATAATTTACTGTTAATGTATTTGAAATGTTAATACCATATAATATAAGGTCTTACAATGAATAGAGTTGCATATTTGGAATATAACTAAAAGATTGGATTAACTCTACACTGGACTCAGATACTTGCTTGATAAAATGTGAATGTTGATCAGGGAACAACATGGCCATCTCTCACAGTGCTCAACTGTACTCATGCACTTAACTTACACCTAGTACAATACAACCAGTTTCTTCCAGGTATTTCCTGTAATTTATATAGAAAACATACTTTTACCAGTTTCTGCCCCCCCCCCCCCACCAGAGAAAAAAGTCTGGAAGAAACACTGGATACAACCTGCCATTGTAAGCAACATGCCTGATGAATGCACCATTTTTACAGCTTCAATTAACAAAACTAGCCTTGTTATACTTCTCAAAATAATTTCAGGATTGACTAGTATCACTGCATAATTAATGACTAGTATCACTGTATAATTAATGAATGACCAGTATCACTGTATAATTAAGTGTTGAAGAAAATTATTTAAAAAAAAATTATTCTTTATTATAATCAAGAAAAATACAGTAACAAAAATAAAATATATGAAATATAGGAGACAAATAATAAATCTATTATGAAACATTTTTCATCTTAACACACATTTACATGAACTTTTGAAGGCATAACAATTGAGTTTTACAAGTAATCCTAGAAAATTGTCATTGCAAACAGGTAAACCTTATAGACTTTCTATTCTTTTAAACCTAGATCTCACAATATATGTCTATTCATTTTGCTGATCATGCTTAGGTTTGGGAATTCCAAAAGGAGCTTTCCATATTCTAACTTTGAGGCTAAACTTATCACTTCCTGTTTTCTCTGGGTACACCTTCAGGACTTTGACCCTCTTGACCTTTAGCTCATCCTCTGCTTTTTCTACTATTACATCCACATAGTCACCTTCATCCATCTGAAATGAGCACAAGTGAATTATTTAAGTACAAATCATTGCACAAGGGGTTTTTAATGATTAAGTTAGTCAAATGATTGTATTAGGGGTTTTAAATGATTAAGTTAGTCAAATCATTGTACTAGGGGTTTTAAATGATTAAGTTAGTCAAATTATTGTACTACGGGTTTTAAATGATTAAGTTAGTCAAATCATTGTATTAGGGGTTTTAATGTTAAGTAAGTTAAGTCCCCTTGTGAACTTGACGGTCCATGGAGAGGTGAAGTAGGGTTCACCTTTTTCTGTGACCTCTGCATATAAAGGGATAGTGTGGACAACACTAAGCTGAGATTTGGTTGGAGTCAAGGACATTCTACTGCCTAAAACCCGGATTCGAACTTGAGACTTTTGGGTTAGCAGTCTAGCGGCCAGGCCGTCCCATTGGTATCAATGCTTAGTGACCTGATATTACAGAGACTCATATTTGTGATCTGCGCACAGAATCATAATCTTTTTTCCGTTTGTGCCCAATACACAGGGGGGCAGATGAAGAAGATTTCATCTGTTTTAATTACCTCGGCATACAAGGGGACAGGGTAGTCAGAACTGAGCCTTACCACCTTTGTTTCCCTAATGTGAGTCATGTACCCATCAAAGCTGGGTGAATTCAGGGAAGTGCTACGAGACTTTTGGGTTTATAGTCCACCATCACATACTAGTTCTACCATACAACTACATCCTCTCATCATTTTAAGCAATTACTAGCTGATTAAATGCTGTGGTGAATAAGTTCATTTAATGTTTGGTTTTTATTGATTTTGGAATGTTGACAAAAAGAATAATTTAACTTTTTTTTTAAAATTTTACTTCTAAAAAAATATATTTTTTGATATATAAAGATGACTTGTTAAAATGTTATACCTTGTAATGACAACTGAAACGATTAATAAATAAATCTTGACACAGCTCACCTTTTCACCTTTTTTGGTCAACTTTGTGCCATTGAGCAGCAGTCCTGAACTAAGAAAAATTTCTTCCAGCCGACTGTTAACAAACAAACAAACAATCAAATAGGGCCTATACATGTAGTTTTCTGTCTATCAAGTTGTTCTAATTAAAATAGTAAAAAATTAAAAGATATCGAAACAAAGAAACTAAATTAATTTAATAATTAAATATGACTTATGTTACTATTAAGATTTTGAAATTAGAAAATTACAATGTTTTTTTTGCCTGTACTTACTTTAGCAAATGTTGTTTTATATTTAAAAAGCCTAAAATTATTATTACTATATTAAAATTTAAAAGTATTTTAAGCAAGCTTTGTATTTATTATATAAAACTATCTCATTTTCTGACAAAATTTGTCAACCATACATTACCAGATAACATAACAAACATTAACATATTAATACTTAGTACATTTTTCTTACTTTCTTGCAATATTTAATGCATGGCTCACAATACCATCTGCCCTCAACGTATTTACTACAATCTTTGTGACTTTAAAGTTTGTTGGGGCTTCAAAGTCATCAGCAGTTAAAGCATCATCATCATCATCATCATCTGAATCAGCCTAGAGCAAGTAATAATACAAGCAAATACATTGGGTAGTTAGAATTAAAAATATCAATAGTTGAAAGCTAAATATAAAATAATTAAACAATATTTAACATTTTGAAAAGTAAAAATATGCAATCTGTTTTAAATTGTTTGTGAGTTTCTTTTAGTTTTAAAGGAAATTAGAAAGTCAACAAATTAACAAGCCACTATTGTTTATTAAGACATTATTAAAAGGAATTAATTAAAGAAAATATCTCCAAATCATAAATTTAGAAGCATTTTTTTAAAACTCTAAATAATGCTATTGTTTGTTTACTTAGTAATACCTAACTTAGCAAAAAAATGATTCTAAAAAAGTTAGACCCACATCATCAGATGTCTTTTTTCCACTGCCTGACTTGTGTCTTACTTGGTCTGCATTCAATACAACATGATTGTTATTGAAACTAATAGGACTAAATTTTCTGCCGCTGTTTATCAAGATATGTTGCGAAGTATAAGATCTTGAGGCCAGTGACAATCCTCTGCTACAACTTGGGTATAAATAACTAGTAAAATTTTTGCAAATTGTGGGTTGGCGATGAGTCCATGTGGTTTTGTTACAGCTGCTGCGTAAACAGTTAAATGCTATTGATGACGACGACATCTGTGTAAGCAGTCGATGCAGGAGATTATTACCTATACTTGTGGCATTTTTCGTTATTGTTAGTATGTTGTTCATTTTGATGCTCAACAATGCACAATACCTTGCTCAGCTAGTGTTTCTGAAATTGAATTACTCTGTATTATTAATTTTAACTAAGTTAGTTAGATAGAAGTTAAACTTATTTGGCTATTGTGTTCTAAAGCCTAGCAATACAAGCTAGTAAATACTGACATGATGCATGTATTCTAATATATTTCTAATATATTTATATTATAGTGATATAGGCCCTACTAATTACTATATATATATATAATATATATATATTTATTTCAGTGTTTCCTTCAGACATGTAGTCCATGGGGGGACCAAAACTTCCAGGAGGGCACACTATACTATTATTTTTATTATAAGAATAATAATTTATTAATTAATAATTAGGGGCCTAATACTACTAATAGGCCTAATTAGTAATTACTTTATCTATTTTGCCTGAAAGAAACACTCTTTTAACAGTGTCCGCCCCCCCCCCCCCCGAAGAAAGTTTACCGCCCCCCCCCCCCCCCCCCCCCCCCCCCGAAATAATATCAACACTCAATAACACTAAGTCTTAGTCAAGTCAAAGTGTTACAATGACAATGTGAATGTCAACCTTGTTCTAGATCTAGCAAGTCTATCCCTATCTAATATCTATCTAGTCTAAGTAGTCTAGGAGGTAGGATTCTAGATCTAGATCTAGTAACTACACTAACTACACTTACAGCTGATCCACTTTCACTTTCAGAGGAAGGGCATCGATTTTATCTTTGAAGTCTGAAGTTAAAGAAAACGAAACAAAGCTAAATACCGAAAACAAACTTTTATTTCAATAATAAACATTTAGAATCATTTTCTTTCTAACCATAACAAAAAACTAAACGAGAAGCGAAATTGAATTATTTTATTTCAGAAAAGGTGACGACACGCGTTTACATTTTTAAAAATTTACAAACTGAATTTGTTGTAGCTGAAAATAATTGAAAATTACAATATAAATGCCTATTTAAAAAAAAAAAATTCGACAAATAGCTAAGTCAGATCTGCACACAGAATTGTTAAAGTTTAAGTTATAATTAAGTTCGCAGATGGCATAGACTTTGGGCGCAGATTATCATATGGAGTCGGCGCATCCATACAAACATAAAAACACTTGATCTAAATCTAGCGACATAATTTTAAAAATTAATTTAGGTTTAGACATCTGCATGGCGACATGTAGAGGCAAGTGTTTCCAAATCTCCATAGGACGAGCTTATACTTATAGTGTTTCTTTAGCAGTATTACATGAGTGATAAGCGATATTTCCCCACTATATAAATTTATAAATTTAGATAGCAGTAGCACTAGCACGGCTACGATTTCGCAATTTTTAATGCAAAGAGAAACAACTCAATAAACATTTAGGCTACATCAATTTAGCTTGGTTATATCCCCTTAATGAAATGTATAGATTTTGAGAGGATGGGAAATTAGGACTACCAAAAATATGTTAGATAAAAAAATATATTAATAATGGAGGAGGTGTGGGCTAACTCTCAAAAGTGCAACTTTTAGCTATAGATATACAATAAGAAACATTTCTTTCTTTTTAATACATTTCTCCCAAGTTTAATAAATATCAATCACCTACTACTGATGTGTAATGGAACATAGGGACTATTTTGCTAAGATTTGACTATATAGAACATCAGTCTATAACAATGGAATCTTCATAATTCTTAATTTGTTAGATCTTAATCTGCTATTTACTTAAATCTGATGGATACTCTCCAATGAAGATAGATCTATTTTTTTATTTGGTCATATTTAAGGAAATGAAGACTGAATATTAGTTCCTGTTATTAATTACCACTTAATAAGCGCCTTACTATTCCAATCTTTTATCTTTCACATGAATAACCAAGACAACTCTGTAAGTAGTTTTCTAAGTTGAAGACCATGGGGTCAGCACTGTAGGTAAGATGAAGTAGATCTAGTGTTTCATGTATTATGTTGGTCTTGCTGATCTTATAAGAATCTGATCAACACATCAAAATAAGATATATCTTGGTGTTCAGGATGCTCTAGAGCTGGATAAAAGACATTGTGTTGATGATACTTGACTGTTTGCTTGTTGATTCATATTCTTTGTTCTTAATTGTAATGTTGGACGAGATTTGCCTCCAATACAATTAAGTATCACATGCCAACTTGTTTTATGTCATTAACTCAGATTTCAGACTGCTTCCATAGCCTTTGTCCATCCAAGAACAAACTTCAAGTCAGCAGTTGTTTGATTTCATCTAGTCTAGCCTTACCTGGGGGTTCGAACTCTGGACTTTTCAGTATAGCACCCATGAGATTTACCAACTGTACCACACCGATCTCTGGTTGTGGATTATGTGTGTGGTTTTGCTATAACTATAATGTTATAAAATACAGGGTGCTCAAAAATATTAGTCTATACAAGAGGGGTGGGGAAGAAAGAGTAGACACTGATAAATAATAATTTTTTTAATGTGTTAAATTGTGGGTAAACAACAAAATCTGTAAAATACTATGGCCAACATTTTAATAATAAAGACAATTATATAATTAATTATATCACATTTAACTTTGAAGTAATAATTTAATTTGATTTATGGTACACTTAACTGTAAAATATTGCAAATCAATATTAGAATAATATACAATCTTTAAAAATAACATTTTTATACTTATATACATAAATGGTTAGCGTCAACACGAATGTAATTACATTCAAATTAACTTTTTTTTCAAAAAGACAATAATAAATTATATGATGGCATTTTAAAGTTCACAATGTCTTCCATAATTTCAACAAAAAAAAAACAACATAATATTACATGATTATTGCTTTTATAAGAACATTTTCATACTTTATTTTCTAATTATGATCTTATTCTTTTCAAAACCAACTTGTTGAGACAATTGCCACAATTGGATTCACAACCAGACAAGCCATTACAACTCAAGCCGTCAGTCGCATCAAGGTTAAAATAATATTAATTCTTGCCAATATTTTTGTATTAAAAGCTTCTAAACAATATTTATTATATCCTAAGTATACAAAATTAAAAAAAAAAACTTATATTAATTAAAATAATATCAATACTCAAAAAATATTTTAAATTAAATTATAATATTCTAAGTATAAAAAAAACAAAACAAAAAAAAACATACATTAGTTCATTAGTTTATATGGATGATGTAAAAAATTGGTCAATAGGTCTCTGTCTTTGGTTACATTATGAAACAACCAGAATATTAAATCTTAAAGATCTGATCCAGCATCTGGTTTAAACTTAAACCCTGATACTGAGCACACTTGCATGAAGCTAATAGGGCTGTGTTATCTTCTGCAAATGTTGCTTCCTTATCCTCCTCTAGACTGACCACATTTGAGACCTGCTCACTGGAATGGCACAAATTCAGTGAAATCATTGTGAAACCAGAGGTGTGAAATCATGTTGCAAATAGCAATACCTTCATCCACAACACATATCAGATATTTGAAACCTGCTCATTGGAATGACAAAAGCTAATGAATTATTGTGAAACCAGTGGTGCACAATCATGTTGCTAATAGCAATATCTTCATCCACAACACATTTCAGAGAAAGCACCACCTATCAATTGAAAAAATATCAAGCCATAAAAAATTGTTAACTCTTTCATTTACTGTTTCCCTCATGTAAAGCTGACGTGCAAGAGGAACATTCTGGTTGATTTCTTTAAAGCTTTCTCGTTTTTATAATAAAGTTAACACCTAAATGTTGAGCTGTTTATTTGGTGTTCCTTCCTTCTTCATGTAATTTTATTTGATAGGAATAAGGGTAATTTTTTACCAGCTTCTGAAATAAAAGAGAAAAAAAAATTGGAAATAAGTTAGGTAAACCAATGATCTCTGATTATTAATGTAATTTTTAAAATTTTGCTGCTTTAATTTTTATGACTGTTATTAACCCTTTATCTCCAAATTAAAAAAAAAAACAAAACAAGTTGTTAAAAAAGAGAAAACAAATTAAAAATTTTTTGTTAATATTTAAATTTGTAATATTTCTTAAATAAAGAGCATAACTTTTCAATGATATAAATTAATAAAATTTATTGTATGCTTTTACTAGATTGCATAATAAAAAATATTTTGAATGTGCTATATGAGTTATAGAATAAAAAATCTATATTTAGTTACAAACATCACTACACAATACCTTAAAGAGCATTTCTTTTGGTTCCAAACCAAATATTATTCCAAGGGTTGTCTGCCAAACTGTATGCCATCACACATAACATCAGCAGAAGTATAAGAGAAACTGCTCCCAAAAAGTAAATGCTTATTTCAGCTATTGTAAGCAAGGAAGGCATGACAGCTGAGGCAATAGTCTCCAACATTTTAAAAGCTTAGTTGAATCTGTGCAAATGAAATAAGAGTGAGTGATAAACATTAAGTGAGGCACATATTTTAACTGTCATAATTAATTTAATTATTAAATTAATTTGTAATTTGGGATGTTCAACTCGGAATCAAAGGGTCGATTATATCATCCAATATTTATTACTAGATGAGTAAAGAATAGTGGTAGGCCCTATAATCACATAATGCCCTAGATCTAGATCTAGTAGTAGTAAGTAGATCTAGAATCTAGTAACTTTTTAGTAATTTAGTAAGACCATAAAACAATAACAAAATTTTAATTTCACAATTTACAATAAACTCAAGTCACACTCAAGTGACAATTTACTAATTTTTAATTTACTATTAATAATTTAGTGATAGAATCTATCATATTCATAGACTATAGTTTCATCATTTAGTCTGAAGTGATACACCACTTTTATTTATTATTATAACTAAGAATACATTACTAGATCTAGATTACAGTGTGTAATGCTGAGCAATACATTTTTTACATAAACTAGCTAGATCTAGTCTAGTTCTCAAAATTATTATCTTTTTAGGACTCGCTAAACGCCGAAAACAGATGAAAAGTAAAATAATGAGGGCAACTTCTGCACTTAACCACTAAAAAGGCCTAATTGTTTCCTAATTCTAACTAAATTACTTCAAGAAGAAGTTGAATGAGATTCTTTAATCTTTGTTGATTCATTGTTTTTTTTTCAATTATTGTCCTATTTTAATTGCAATGATCTGTTTGAGGCTAATAAATATGGCTTCTGTTTCATGCTTTTAGTGTAGTGTATTAAAACTATTATTATTTTAAAAATTAAAAGCTATAATGAAGAATGGATAAAATCATAAACTAGTTCTTTAATCGGCGTGGTTGAGTCGGTAAAGCTCAAGGCTGCTAAACCGAAAAGTCTCAAGTTCGAACCCTCTGGCAGATGAGGCTCGTTAGCAGGGGACAGCCGCTCTTCTAGGAGAGACAACTCCTAAATCAAACAACTGCTGCCTTGTAGTTTGTTCTTGGTTGGACAAAGGTAATGGAAGCAAATCCAAAAAGAAAAGCAGGCTGAAATCAGAGTCAATGGCCTCAATGGTGCATAACCAGTTGACACGTATCCTTAATTGTGTTTGAGGGGGGATCCCTTCCAATGCTAAAATTAAGAACGAAGAAGAAGAAGAATAGCTTTATAATATACAAGACATGCAAAAAGATTAATAATTTAAAAAACAACAAAACAATAAACAAATTTGTCATTTTATTTTTAACATAAAGACTATTCAGAACAATTATTATTAATAACAACACAATTTCACTTTTACAAACAGATGTCGAATTTAATAAAGACATATTTATTTATAAAAAAATAATGTACAGCTTTTAATAAAAATCTGTCTACATAAATCAATAACTATTGTTTCAAAACGTTTGTAATATAACATGAGTGAATATCCTAACTATTTATAAAAATCAGTCCTAAAAGCAACAAAAATAGCAGTTTTCTAATTGAACCTCTTTACTAAACCTTGTTACAGTCTATCTGAAAAGAACATGATTTGTATCACAGTTCTATTAAAATAATATGCCGAAGATAATAATAAAACTTGTGTAAATTGTAAATGTTTGTCATGATAGTGCATGATCTACTTCAATAATGTCTCTAAACAAAATTGCATTTAAAAACACTACAGTAACTTCAAAAGACCAAGTCTGACACCATGAAAATCTAGTTAGCAAAAATTATAAAACCCTGAACACAAATACCTAAATATTCTTTGTAGCATTCTTATTTTTTTTTATAAAGCAAATTTTACAGGGGGTATAATGTTACATTCAATGAATGAAACTATGCTTAAATATAAATCACACAAAATAACACATATTTAAAGCAATAAAGACATGGAACAGTTGCTATCAAATCCATCAGTTGCTTTTTTGCATATACCCATGTAGACCAGCATGACTTATAACTACATTTTTCAAACTAAGTGCTCAGTTAAGTACACCAAAACTTTTTCTACTCCAGGTAAAGTGTACAACATTTATTCATATTTATTCAAGTTTAAAAATTTAATCAGACGCCCTAAAAGTTAAAAACACACATTGACTAAAGCAGAGAAAAATCTATCTTTTTAATACTTAATAGCATAACAACTGAGTATTAACTAAGAATTGCACATTGGATTTTACACTAATATTTAATCACCAAACAGTCATTTAAAAAATTCAAAATTATTTGTTGAAATAATTTAAATCCAAAAATAATTTAATGCAATAATAACACACATAAAATAATGTAACTGGTACTACCAAAATGTATTAGTGTACTCAGCAAGCTGTATACATAAGATTTACTTACTAAAAAGCAAAGCCATAATTTAGATGGACAAGTCTAAATAATCACAGAATTTTTAACCCTTTACTGTCCTTTGCCTTAAATGCACACAAGATTTTTGTAGTAGAGTTTGATTAAGTTTAGTATATACATTTCCTAGACGTAATGGAGTTGGTAACAAAGCTATTGAGATACAAGAGGAAGCTAGAAATATTTTTTATATATATATAGGCTTTATATTATTTTTTAAGATAAATTATTAGACCATTTAATTACTTAATCTAAATATCATAATACAATAAGACTCTTTTCCTGTGGAATTTTTTATCATTATTTTTTTATGCAAGGATATTTAAAAGTATTTTTTAAATGGATGGCTGAAAAATGTTCCATTATTTGGTTTGGCATTACAAGAAGTAGGAATACTTTCAATACCCAACTATTAAAGGTTTTGTGTTTATTTCATTATTTTTTACATTTTTAAATTCTTTCTTTCTTAAAGAAAAAATAAGTTGTCTATTTTTTTTATCACTTAAGGTATTCATGGCTTGGACATAGATCTTTCAGGTTTTGTTCCAAACGGTTCAAGCTGTTCAGATGTTGGGAGTAACCGGTTCAACATGTCCATTTTAGGCACAATGTCCTCCATAGATTTCTGAATTTTTTTCAGTGTGGTTAAGGTTTCTGTGACTCTACCAAATTGTTCAACATATTTACTGTATTTTTTTTGTCTGTCTGTCAGAGTGTTCATAAGAACATGAATAGTATGGTCCATCTAAAAAAAATACAATTTTAATGTAAAATTAGTTCATTAATTGAGTCAAAAGTCTAATAAACTTCTCTCTAACAAACATTAATCTAACTTCACCTATCCCATTTTTCAAAATAATTAAGTTTAGGAAATCTTGGATTAAATTTAATTCTTTGAAATTTGTAACAATGGCCTGAAAGCCATAAACATCTATAATTAATATTTTGCTCAATATTTTGTGTGGTTTTAGCAAACAATTTATGTAAAAATAGTCTCTTAATACACAAAAGCTACAAGATTAAAAAATAAATGTTAAATATATTTAATAACAGCAAGTAAAATTGTATTATAACAAACCTCTTTTATTCGTATACACAGAGCATTCTGGTCAAAGGCAACGGCTTCAGCCAACTGCCGCAAATGGTCTTGATATCTCAAACAGAGAAGTAATAACTGAAACAAAAAAAAATATTATGCTATGCTCTCAACATCAAATATTTTCACATATCAAATGTAATATTCTTAATTTCAATTATTTTCTTTTGTTTGGATATATTTTGCTTAAGCAATGCACTTTAAACAGGAAAACTGTAACAGGACTTTGCAAGTTTTAAAAAAATAAACTTATACTCAACAGACAATAAGCAAACTGGTGAATAACTTTTTAAATACAACACATAAAGCTACTGCACTAATAGAATAACTAAATTAACACAGGTCAAAGTCATTATAATGTGTTGAGAATACCTCTTGGAAAAAATATACCTTAAACTTTACTTTATAAAACAGAGAAAAAACATTTTTTTTTAATAACTGGTAGATTATAAAAGTTTATCTATCTATTCTTCACCATGTATCTTAGAAATACAGGGAGATAAACACAAAGCACACCTGTTTGTGGTCCAGCTTGTCAAGCACATCCACCTCCTTACTGCCCACTGGGATATTGAGGGAACCTTTCAAAATGGGGAAGAACACCGGGATTGTGTTGAGTTTAGTGAGCTCGGGGTCAGGATCTTTCACTGGGATCAGACCATCGGCAACAACAACAATTTCATGTTTTGGTGTTCCATCCTTCTCCTGCTTGACCACTGGTCTCTGGGTCTTGTGAGGTCTGGGAGACTGTCTTGGGGAATCTAAAAAATGGAGGTGAATCAATTCTCAATCTATTCTATGAAATGGGGAAGAGGGGGAAGGACAATGAGTAGGTGTTTAAGTTTGGTATGAGGGATGGCATGGCCAAAGTGGTAGAGCACTAGGCTGCTAACCTGAAAGTCTCTAGTTCGATTCCAGGTTCAAGTCACTAGTACTTGAACGTGCTTGAGTCCACCCAGCTCTGATAGGTACCTAACTCATGTTAGGGAAAGTAAAGGTGACTGGGCTAATCTTCCAAATGGGTCGCTAGGCCGAAAGAGGATTCTTTACTTTTATAAGTTTGGTATGCAATGTATACTTTTGGCTACAGAAACAGACATCTACACACATTTTATAATATTTAATTCAGCTTTTGGTACAAAAAGTAATTTTTAGTTGATATATTTTTTCTAATAATTTTACAATAAAAAGTTGTGTTTTAAAGTTCTAATTTTGTAAGTAATAGCAATGAGTTATTTGTGAAAACTACTAAAATCTACATAATGAATGATATTGTACTGAGCTAAAACACTTGTACTAGTACACCAAACTATGATGTAAAAAATAAGTCAAAATAATCAGCAAAAATTATGTATTTTACTCACGAGAATCTATTGGTTTACTGATAGAATATTGTGTGTAGGGTATCTCCTCATCCCTTTGAGATCTTAGGTTACTGCCAGGAGCTCCCGCTGGCAAAGTACTTTGATCAGAGCCCATCTATCCAAAAACCTTCAGTATTTAACTAGGGCCTTGATCTTCAGACCTAAAAATAAAGAAATAGATTCTATATTGTTAAACTTTTGGTCAGGTGCTCATAAAAGACAGGATTAGGGTGGGTGCTGTGTCTTTTTATTAGTTACGAGCCGACTCGCAGCATATAATACGCCACTATTTAGTTGTTGTTTTTTTTCTACTTTTCAGTTATTCATAATTTGTGAATTCGACACTACCAACGCTGCCACTGAAAATATTTCTTTAAAACACTATAAGTAGCTCGTTAAGGATGATAACCCTCCTCCGTCACCCCCCCCCCTCCGTTAAAGTAAACTCCACTTAACTAAACCCCCCCCCCTACGTTTAAAATTGTTTAAAACTAATTTATCTGCCCCTAATAGTCGTCACTGAACCCGGCTGTGTTTGTAATGTTTGTAAACATAAAGAGTGAACAACAGCTCACCAGACCATATAGGGGTGGGGGTGGTAGGGAGCGCGTTTGCAGCTTGTTTTCTAGCGGCTCCCAGAAGAGAATTATATAATACGAGCCGACCCGCTGCGTATCATAGGCCGCTATTTAGTTTTTTTTTTCTACTTTTCAGTAATTTATAATTTGTGAATTCGACAGTACCAAGGCTGCCATTGAAAATATTTGCTACAGTACCTCCCCCCCCCCCCCCCCCACGTGAAAGCAGCCTCCTCTTAGTTACCTCCTCTAAGTTTAAAATCGTTTCAAACTAAATTATCTGCCCCTAATAGCAGTCACCAAACCCGTCTCTATGATTGTAAAATGTAAACAGAGTGAACACCGCTCACCAGATCATGTGGGGGTGGGGTGGGGGTGGTAGTGATAGAGAGGAAGAGAGGGGACTGCAAAGGCGCGCTTGCAGCTTGTTTTCTAACTGATCCCAGAAGAGAATTATATATAGGGCCTATATATATTTTATATAGATACTTATTAGCCTAATACTTAAATCTACTTGTTATAAAAATAATTCTAATTATGAAAGTTGACATGAACAATATTTGAATTAGAAATCTATAGCCTAGGCTATTTAATTATCTTAGTTTTTACTGTTGTATATTTTCTTTATTTTGTATCAGCTAACTTGACTATACAAAAATCTATCACTATCAGGTGAGTATCAGTCATCACTGATAGATTCTTGTCTAGAACTAGATTCTAGACTAGAGTTAGACTTAGACTAGAGGAATGGATTTCTATCACTATAGTTAATTTAATAGTATCAGATCAGTCTCAGTGACGGTATCAGCAGACAGAAGTCTGAGAAGTTACAACTTACAAATTTAGATTTAGAATCTAGAATTTCTTGATCTGAGTTGAATCTAGATCTAGAATCTATATTCTAGATCTAGCTAGCTAAACTATGAAAACTTTTCGTTAACAAAATTAGATCTAAATCACGAATCTAAAATAAGAACTGTAGGAATAATAGAGGAAACACTTGTTTACATGAATTATATAAATTATAAATTTATAATTAAGACGAAACGCAACTAGATTTAGAATTACCGCCCTTTGACTATTCATTTATGTTAAGAAATGGGTTTTTTAATTACGTTGCTAACGCTAGCTCTTTACCATCACTAAGGAAGCTTACATTGGCGAAAAAAAATAACATCCGAGTAAGCTAAGCTTACCACGGCTAAATTACCATCGATCTGCTAAAAACTTTATATTAGTAAACGCCCTGAAGCCTAATATAAATTTAGATACAAAGTTTAGCGTACACTCATCTCATTAATTATTTAATAATTATGGCAACAAGGCAGGGCGGTGTACTGCCTGAGATGACAGCAGCAACTTGTCATATGATATTGGTAATAAACTAATATTTATAAAACTTTTAAAAATAATGTTAATGCCACTTAATGAGTTGATTAAAATAAGTAACTGTAGACAAGCATTCAAAATTTAATGGTGGTCACAGTGAGAGTGACTGTAGTTAGTACTAGGTTAAGTTACAAGTTACAAGTTAGGGCTCTGTCCGTAGGCAGCTAGGCCAGTGTGTGTTGAACTTGAGGGTAATCTAGAATCTAGTGAAGTGAGTGTAGGAGTGTAGGCGTAGATTACTAAAATAATCATTATTTATATTGATATTTTAATTTATACTATATAATACTATTAATATTATATTTAGGCCTATATACTAGTGCCTACTCTGTTAATATTATGATATTAATATTATGACTTATATTATATAATTATAATAAATAACACGTAACACAACTAGTGCCCGCTGATAACGATATAGAGGCAAAATAAAATATAAATAATTTTTAATATCTTTTCTAGATATCTTAAGGCCTAATTATTAGTAATAATAGAATATAAAAATTTGCTTTCATTAATTGTATGGTCTATATATGATAATAATAGTAACGCAGACACGCCTAAGTAATCTTGTAATGTCTACAGCTTCCTCCAATACTCTAATAGTGCATATAATTAACTAATATCGGCCTGCTACTAGACATATTTCACTATATATTCTTGATAGTAGGCGTATGTAAGGTTAAGGTTGATTGATAGTAAAAAGTTAAATTTTTAAAAACTTTTCTTAGGACATTCTTCAATCAGGAAACTATTATGTAACTGAGGAGATTGCCAGAGAATTTACCGTGGCTAAGAATGCACTTGATCATCTGTGCTTAGATAATACATTCTTGACGTCATCTCAGGAGTGGAAGAAACAACCAGGAAACTACACACAAAATGAAACAGCACAGCATCATTCAGGTAGTTGATTCCAGAAACGTAGCACGGGACGAACTATCAATTTTGTGCCCCCCCCCCCCCCCCATTTATATTTTATTTATTCATGTTAGCTATTACTCTTATATCCTTCTCTGTCCTCTGCATTTTGATAGCCCATTCTAATCTTTGATGTCCTCCCCCCAATGATGTCTTTGCCTTCCCCTTCTTCTCCCTCCATGCACCATGCCCTGCATTATTGTTTTGGATAGTCAGTTGGCTCATGTGACATGCCCATACCATCTCAGGTGGCCAATAAGGCAAGGAATGGAATACTAAAATAAATTTAAACTTTGCCGCCTTATCACATCCTATAGGCCTAGTCATACACTTAACATGTGTGAGATAATTTTTTAAAATAGTGCTTAAAATATTTAATAACCAAGTTAATAGACTATTCTCAACAATATGTTGAATGTTTCAAAATATAAAGACTATCTACCTCTTATCACTGCATTTAACTGTAAATCTGTAATTATGCTTTGACTTAACTTTAAATTCTAAAAACTTAAATAGGTGCCTTGAATGCAATCAGTAATCTTGGAGCTTACCTTTGTGAATATAAGCGTCTGCTTTCAAACCAAGCTGTTCTTGGAAAGCAAGAAAATCAAGTGAGAGAACTACATCAATGGGCAATATCTTCTCTCAAAAGCGCATTTCGGGTATGCAATATTATTCTTGTAAATTATACCTTGATATGTATGTATTAAAAATGTAAACCTTTTGATAGGATCTTATAAATTGACTTACATAGTTGCTTCCAAATTTTGTTTTGTCCTGAGCATCCCATAGCTTTTTTAATATTGTCGAAGCAGTCACTCAGGTGAACTGTGTGGCTTGATTGGAACACTACCAAAGCCTTTTAGCTTTCATTTGACTAATTACTCATCAGGTGTTTTCACCATTATTTTTTGACACTTACAACAAGATATATGTGTTGTTTTTATTGTTTTTATACAAGAGCATTAAACTTACTTGTCAATGTAGGTAAATTTAACGCTCTGTTATGTTCTATTCTGTAAGCATTTTGTGTGATACTCTTCTCAATTTCAAGACAAAGTGTTTTAATGAACTCATCTATATGATTGTCAGCTATGCCTTTATTGTAATAGTTCAATTTCTGTTAATCACATAAACTTTTGTATGTTATGTATTTAAAAGTATGTATGCCCATAATTAAAATTAATCTATTTTTTTTAACAAAAAAAGTGTAAGTTTTAGAAATGTATTTATTTGTGAAAACCTAATGGTTTTAATTATTTTCTCCTAATCGAAGCAACTGGAACCATACACATTTGATGCAGCCGATCGCATAAAACAGTTTGGTGACAGCATAGGAGTTACTGATAGATACACTGGCTATCGCAACAATTTGACTCGAGGTAATAGAGACCCATTTCGATTGAAAACAACATGGATGGATCGAAAAGGAGAGCTTGGACTCATGAACAATCTAACAAGATCTCATACAAGTCAGTGAAATAAAAACCACTTATCTTTCTAAAAATTTATGTTTTTAATAGCATTGTTCGCATAAGTCTTGGTTTTGATTTTCAACCTAACAGTGATAACTGATAATTTTTTTTTTATTAAAGGAAGTATATAGAACTTGCCAGACAAGAAGAAATCTGCTAATAATTTTATATTGCAATATACTATTTAGTAATTTATTCTAATTTTTCTTCTCTTTCTTCTTTGTTCTTAGTTGTAATGTTGTAAGGGATTTTCTCCTACACAATTGAGTATTACTTGTCAATTTGTTATGCCTCATTTAGGCCATAGAATAAGATTTCAGCATGATTTTCTTTTTTCAGTTTGCTTCCATAGCCTTTGTCCAAGGCAGCACCTGTCCTCACCAATTGATTCTCATCTGCCAGACGGTTCGAACACAGGCTTTTTCGGTTTAGTACCATGAGCTTTACTGACTTGACCACGCTGACCCCTATGCTAATTTCAATGTCCGTCCCTTGGTAATAGTAATTATTTTATCTCTAGCTTTGGGCGACCCTGTCCTGGATCAGCGCGTGGTGAACAGAACACTTAGAGCAATTGGGGAGCCCAGTTCTGATTTCAGTGAGTACGGTGGGGTTCCACCAGCCAACATGGGAGCCTTGAAGAAACAGATACGGTTTGGGAGCAGCAATCCGCCAATGAGAGTGACAAGAGGTATGCTTTAATTCACAAAAACAAATTTTAGTCTGGTGAGTTGAAGTTGTTAAAAAATTTAACTTTAGTGGTTTTCATGAACAGTGTTTCTTCCAGACTTTTTTCTCCGGGGGGCACTTGAAATTTTTTGGGGGGGGCGGTAGACTTTCTTCGGGGGGCGGACACTGTTAAAAGTATATATTTTTGATATAAATTATATAAATTTCATTTCATTTGGGGGGGGGGGGGGGGGGGCGGTAAAAAATTTCGCGAAGCCCCCCCGAAGAGACGCCTGGAAGAAACTCTGGTCATGAACCAAAACCATAATGTAAGATAAAAAAAATAACAATAACATTGATTTATTTCTCTCCTTAGGGTATAGAACCATTGATTCACTTTACCCCAAAACATCAGCCCCACTAGATGGTGGTTATCCCCGTTACTCTTCTGTGATGGATGAAGTGAAATCACTTAATGCTTTTAATGCATGTGAACAGTATAGTAAAATAGATATGTGTGCTAACAAGATTCCATCTCCAAAACAACCTTATGAGCTAAACAGTGTACAGGAACAGGTACAATATTTATTTGTATTATGTTTTAAGCTAAATAAATACAGACATGTTTTTTTCTTCATTACAATGTAGTAGGTAGGATTTTATTACAGGTTCAATACTTTTTTTCTATAAATATGTTACATTATGTATGTAGTGTCTAAATATTCATATTCTGAAATGTTTTTGAGAATACAATTACAGTTTTACACTATTTCCAAATTAAAATAATTGGAATTTACATAAGTTTATCATCACCAATAACTGTTTTCAACCACTTTTCTACAGGCTGGTATCAATACAACCTACCCAGGCAAGACTGAGTACATGCTGAGGTTCACCAAACCTGATACTAACGCCGCCACTTCAGATTTCAAAATCAACCCCTGCCCAGACTTTTCCATTTATGGCCGTCCCATTCAGTCCAATGTATTCTCACCAAGTATTACTGAATACCAGTGCCGCTATGAGTGGCCAAATTCAGACAAAATTGTTAAACTACCTTGGCTAAAGTATTAAGATGTTAATTCAGTGAACTAAAAACAATTAAACACAGTGATATCTACAACATGAATTGTGATAATCATATTTTATCTTTTATTATTTTTTCCCCTAAAAAGGCTGTGAGATCATGTAAACAAAATTATAAATAAACTGTACTTTTTAAACTTGTTATAATAACTTAAACATTTTCAAGCAAGGCAATTTTATTTATAATTTTATATAAAAATGTGTATGCATAAAGTAAGTTTATGTTTTTATATTAGTGAATGTAAATTTTGACTAACCCTTTTAATAATTTTTCTTTATAAATAAAAAAATAATATCAGTTTTACTTTTAAAAAATGATTGTATACACGGTTTTAGTTTATTTTTTAGGTATACATTGTTCATTAAAACTGAAAAAATTATTTAAAGGTAAATTACACTGTTTTGATTTTTTTTTAAATTTAAAGACATTTATATGGTTTTATATTATGAAACATTTTAAAATCTACTTTGCTTGTGTATATCTATACATGTATACATCTACAATTAACATTTTTTGTATTATTTTATCATTTTAATTTAAAAGAGCAGATAGTCTTTTTCTATTAAAAATCATTTTGTCAGAACTGTTTTTGTATACATACAAAATATGTTAAAGACTAGTGCTATTGAAATTAATTTTTTTGCCTTAAAAGGGTGTTTAAAGATCACAAGGTTTCAGACAATAGGTATTCTAGCTTTAAAAATTGCTTCTAAGATTGTATTCACAGTGCTCTTTCATTTAACTGAAATCAGTATCCAGGATGTGGTTCTTAAAGCTGTATGACGGTAGATATTGGGAACAAAAATCAACTTTTAAACATTTTTGTTAAAAAAATATATTTTTGTAACAGAAAATATACATCATTCTTGCCAGAACAAAACTATTTATTGAAAAATAAAGTACATCTTTTTTTCCTGCTGTAAATATTTTGCTTGAAAAGTCTTGTGTTGCTATTTACTGTTTTTTTGTTTGTTTAAATGTTATTACTTTTAATAGTTTTGAATACATATTACCATTATGAAGAACTATATTTACTAATCCTGCTTGTAATTACAATGGTAGAAAAAGTAGCTATGGGAAATAAAAATATTATTTATTAACAAAATTTTATGTCAGCTCTGCATTTAAAATAATAATTTATTTTTTTAAAAGTTCCATACAATTTTGCATTATTTACCTATGCAGCATTATTGTAACAAGTTGAAGTAAAACAAAGTCAGATTAAAAAAATAAACTTATTTACAAAGTTTTTTTCCAACATTTTTTTTCAACACCTGGAAATTTTTCTTGTGTATAGTAAAATAATGATGCCAATAAGAATTTCAATTGAACAATTTTTAAATACGGATAAGTAAAATATGAAAATTAGAAAATCATTGCAATAAAATTAGGTTTAGTAATTATACTTACAATTTTTTTTTTTAAATCCTTACCTGGTTAGTTATTTTAGTACTGCTAAAATGTGGTTAAAAATAAATGTATAGTTTGCTATACCATGTGTTGTTTGATGTAGTGTGAAATCTGCAGCATTAAAGCATACAACTTTTCTATGTAATCACAAGCTTTTTCTTAATTCACTATGTCTGTCTGTTTGTGGTCGTATCTCGCAACTTAAATCTGACCCATTTTTATTGAAGCGATTCATTTCAAATTCTCCAGATAATTTCTATTCCGATAATACAAGAATCTCTCATTTTTTTCCCCTTTGAATTAATATTAAATTAGTTGTTGAAAATTAATTTCAAGATTTTCTATAGACAATAAACAAGGGAGATAACATGGACAAATGTTAAAGAAAACTCATTTAGCTAGCTGACTTAAATATGATGCACTCTGTTCTTTTATTTGTTATTGTACCCTCATCACTGTTCTAGAAAGCCAAAGTAAGTGACAAGTTGTATGGTCTTTACTTTTGTTGTTTACAGAGCCCTGCTTTTTAATTTTTACAGTAAGGTGCAAATGATAACTAGACCTAAATCTGCTAAAATTTTGAAAGAAATTTAATTAAAGATTGAGAATGTATGTTAATAATTAATCATTAACTGGGAAAGCTTAAACACAACATTAAAATTTGTATTTTCCTAAAATAAAAATTCTTATGTATTAAAATAAAAGGGAAATTCAAACATATAACCATTACAAAAGTTTAAAAATTGACTATAAAACACAGTTTTATTAACCTTTATTTCATAAGTAAAATTATTGAAAATTCTCTTAAAAAACTCTAATTTTTAGAGATATAAAATATTGACATGTTCAAGCAGTTTTTAAATGTAGATGGTGTATAATTATAGCTCAACACCATGGTAAATGAACACAGTAAAGTCAAATCACATTTTTGTCAACAGCTACATGTTGTTTCTGTATTCAAAGAAAACACGCTTATTTTAATATAACAGGAAAAATGTACATCTTTTAAAAATGCATAATATAAAATGCAATTTATAGTATAATATATGCCAATGGGATGGCTATAAATATAAATTTATATAAAATAAATAAACAACTAAAAAAAATTCATGCATAATATTTTTTTAAAATGCTGATGTACACTAGAGGCTTTGATAACAACCATAGATCGTTGCATTTTTGTGTTGACTCATGATTTTTCAAAAACGTACTTCATTACAGAACATTTATCCTCAATTATTTTAGCAATCATTAAAAATGTGTATCGCCAAGATGAATTTGCAGAATAAACATATACAATGATACAATAATATCATATGCCAGGCACATTTTTGTAGGATAAAATAATAAATTAAAAAACTTGATGCATTTGGTTTTATCTATATTGACTAGAAAATTGCATTTTCATTAATATATTAATTAAACAGTATTTTTGGCAGTTAAGAGAAAGACAAATGGATAAAATATGTTACAATTGCTTTTAAAACATGATAAGTGGATAACACTTGTGTCAATATATGGAACACGGAACTTCTAAATAGAAGAGAAGTAGAGTTGGAGTATCGGCTTAGATTTACATGCTTACAAAGACCAAATTGTTCCCCACATTCTAACACTCAACAAGGTCATGGATGGTCAGGTTCACAAATCGACCAGGCTCAACATGCAGGACATGGGTGTTGGTACCCTGCACTGGTTTCCTCACAATGTACTGCCCAGGCTTGGTGATGATCCTGATGCCCTGTTCCCCACACTGTGCCGAACTGGATGGCTTGGTCATGGCTTTACCCTGAACACAGCAATGTGAACACAGATTTGGCCCTACCTTATCATGCTTGGTAGGGTGGTCTTTACTATCTGTGCTTTGAAGGCAGGGTTTAGCTGGCTTTCTGTGAAGTCTACCCGGGACTGACTTCTTTCGATGAACCGTGTTTTCTTTACGCTTGCTTGCTGATAATTTTCTGTGACGATGGTTTTTATTTTTATTGCAATCAGGGCTACTTGGGTCTTTTCTTGATTCACTATTTTGATTATTATTTACAGCTAGACTCTTGTTTATAAAAGAGTTTCGGAATGAGAAACTATGTGAAGGACTAGATCCTCTCCCGTTTTGGTCTCTAAGATCTTGTAGAGATACTTTACTATTAACAGCATTCTGGGATTGATTCACGGGTTCAGGGGGTGCTACTTTTTCCTTTTGTTTTCTTTGTGATGGAACAGAAGATGAGTCTGACCATGTCGTGCTGCTCAAAGATAACAGAGGCGGGTAAGGCGTCTTTTTCTTTTTTGAAGGCTTTTTACTGTAGAGGATTTGCATGTCTTTTTCATCTAAAAACTTTCGAGACGGCTCGCTTTTCTCAGAGGTTGAACTACCAGAACTTTTTACGGAGTTCTGGGACTTGAAAGATTCCAATGCTGCCTCAGTATTTTTCATTGATGATTCCAAATTGGAGGAAATCAGATCAAAGTGGATATGCCGTGCATCATCAGTGGCCATTTTTTTCTTTTTCCTTTTTTTTAAAGCAGATGCTGTGCTGCCGGATGATGTGGATGAGAAAGATGAACTTCTTGTTCGAGGGGAACTGTTACTCTGGAAAAGAAAACAGTAAAACTTTTTATTTCTGTTACACAATAAAAAACAAAATTATTCAACCCACAAAACAAAATGAAATTGGAATTAAGTTTACTAAAGCACTCTGAATTAAAAGGTACCAGTTATTTCTCTTAAACTTCTAAAAATGACCAAATACGATTTTTTTTTTCAAGTTGAAAAAATTATTTTAAAAAAAAAATCATTTTCAACTTCAAAAATTAAAAAAAAAAGATTATAAAACAATTAGTGGGGCATATGAAGCTTGAAAATTTTGTTTTGGTGTGGATTGTTCTATTTTAATTTAGAGTTATATATATTTTTGGTCTTAACATTTAAAACCAAATGGGTCATTCTGTCAACTGTTTAATCTGATGAGTTGTAAAAAATTGGGATGCAAAATATTTAACAGATAAAATAATTGAAGCAAGCAAAGGCGATAATCTTATCCCAATTAAACTGAACAGAACCATCTCCTATGTGTATACTATGAACACAATTATTTACCCTGTATACTCGTCTGACACTGCGAGTTACTTTTGCACTCCTAGGAGTGACTCTGGCACTTCTAGTGACTCTGGTAGTGCTGGTAACATCACTATGATATGCACTGACATGTTTTCTGTCAGCACAGCTTAGGTCTCCATCAGTACAGGACTGGAAGTAGCACTGAAGAGTCCATTATAGTAGATTATAATATGTACATTACATTATATATCATATTTATAATATTGTATATTATATAGGCCTACATGATTTTTAAAAACAACACATTTTGTTGAGAAGTAAAATTTATTGGGAAAAACACTCTGGAAATAACTTTATTATTATTATCATTTGTGTATAAATTACGGGGATTAAAATTATTGTTTTTACTTTAAAATACCGTAAAGAAATACTGCCAAAATAAAACACCATGGACATTATTTATTGTTATTTAAGTAATATAATTGTTTTTTTCTTCTTCAAATTTTGCTTATGATCAATATTTATGTATAATTTACTGGGTTTAAAATTATGTGTTTACTTTAGTAAGCACTGTAAAAAAAAAAAAACTGCAAATTCAAAACACCAAGAACCTTATTTATCATGTTGTTTAAGTACATTTTTTTGTTAAACTTTAGCTTGTGAGTAGCTAGCCCTTGGCTTAAATTTTACAAAACAGCATGTAGGACAATATATCACAAAACATTGCATAACATTTTAACACATAATAATAACACAGTGTATGGGGGAAATCCAGTCTAACATAACATTTAACAATGAAGATCACAAAACAAGACCTAATAACAGCTTCAGTCTTAATGACCAATTCCTTATTGTACTGTTTTAAACAACTGATTGCAGTTAGTGAATTGGCTAACCTGACAATGTAAAGAGATCTTCCCCATCTGTTTTGATATCTTTCTCATAGTTTCATCAATATCGCTCTTTGGTTTCCTATGTGAGTCCCTGACTTTCTAAAACAAAAAAATGATGGATAGCACAATTTCTTTACTAAATGTTTTAGTCTTAGGTATTCTAAGAATAAAGAACTTATTTAAATAACACAGGCAAGATTAAGTATATGAAGGCATGTGATTTACATAATTTAACAATATGTTGAATCAATGATGGGTTACTATTTTAAATAATACAAAATTTGTAAAAGCAAACCTTTTCAAACAAAAATTGTTTGGGTTTCAGTTCTAATGATTAAATAAATAACTGAGGGCACATGACTTAACAACCCCCACTTATTTCCTAATAAATATATGGAAGATATAAGAAACAGATCACTTTACTTAGCAGCATTCATGCATTACCTTAGGGTATGTTGCCTCACTTTCACAGACAAACTCTGCAGAGTAAATTACAAACAATATTACAAACAAATACTCAATATAAAAACAAAAAGTAAAGCGGTTCAATAAAAACATGGACATCACCATTATTAATAAGGAAAATAGATCTTAAATTACCATTGCAGCTATTCTGGCATGGAGCTTTAGTTCTAAAATTACAAAAATCCATACACTCTGAGTCAGATGATTTAAGCGAACATTCTGCAAAACAAAAATGTTATCATTTTTTTAAAAGAAATTAATAGACTATTTTTAAAAATAATTGATTTATGATAAGTTAATAACTTTTTGAGGCAACAAGTAAACACATCCTTAAGGCTTAAATACGTCATTTTAGTGTTGTCTATTAATTTTTTCAATGGCTAATTAATGATAAATAATCTAGATAACTTTCAATGAAAATAAATAAGATAAAAGTATTCTCTATTATTATACTATTATACACTTAAAAAATTACAATAATGTGTAAAAAAAATTGAGTCAGTAATTACCATCCTTCTTGATAACTTTAGTGCACACAGAGCTAATAGCATGTGTTAAGGCTCTTGAATAGACATCTGCAGCAAGCTTCCCAGTTTTAATCAACTTCTTCTCTAAGTCTGTCATACCACCACTCATGATTGGAAAGTCTGTAAAGAGATTGTCATTAAATAAAATGTTTTATTCCATTTTAACAATTGATAGTACTAAAACAGTAATAGAGGATGGCGTGGTAAGGCGGGGGTGTGTATGATTGCTAACTCCAAATGTCCTGAGTTCAGATCGCAGGCAGATGAGGCTCATTGGCTGAGAAAAACATCCTATCTAGAAGAGAAAACATATTTCGACAACAACTGCCTTGCAGATCATTCTTGGATGGAAGCAAATCCAGAAAGAAAACCTGGATGGCATATAACATGTTAACTCATGGGATGGGGGTGCTAAATGTTAGAGCATTTTGCTGTTAGCCTAAAGGTCTCGAGTTCGGATATAGATTTGGACTGTCGGATGTCATGAGTCCAGCTAGCTCAAATGGACACTTGACTTACATAAGCTGAGTTCAAGAAACATGAACTCTACTTCATATGCTAAATAGATCACTAAATATTTAATTTTTTTACTTTAACATTTAGCAGTTAACTATGTTGGGGGAAATCGCCTTCTTTTTTTTCAGGAATAAGCATATTTGTTTATAAGCAGAATTTAGGAGATAAACATTTTCAAATACACAGATTCCAGACAACTTACTGTGTGATGTTGCTAGCCCAATTCATTAGTTGTTGACTACTGTTAGTTTATACAACCTAAAAAAAAATAATAGATCATCAGTTTATTCTATAGGTTGGTTAATTGAAAATTTTTGGGCTTAATTTAGGGTCATTCACCCCCCCCCCCCCCCCCACGTGCAATAGATATACTCCCACACTTTCTCCTCTATAATAACCATCATTCTTAAATTACATTTACATTTCAATGCCCCACACACACATATTACTCACTATAGTAGAACCCTATCTAGGTTACACCATTTATAGATAACTCACAAATATGTTACTATTTAGAACAATTCAACAAGTTGGATTAATCAATTATAGTTTTATTTTAAACAAAATCCAGAATTTTTTGTTTGAGTCCACTATGGATTCTTCAAAAAAAAAGGTGAGTGTTATGCATGTTGTTAATAGTGTGTAAATTAGCATTTTAGCAGTTGGTATTACTCACCAGTAAATCTAATGTCGACATTAAACTATGAAATTAATTAGTGCTGGAACACAAACAACTCCCACTTGTTGGAAGAATTTAGTCATGGTGACTACTAGGGGCATTTGAGATCAGGTTAGAATAATCTAGAAATAGGGGAGAGTGCGTGTGTGAGTTGAGTTTACCCTAGAATATTGTTAACCCACAAGTGTTTATGTATGGTAATCCCAAGGTCGAATGCGGGTATAAAAGCGCGAGAGAACGATTGTGGGGCAGGTCAGCGGTTAGTTGGTAGCGGTTAGGACGAGTGCTGGTCTGTTGTGTGTAAAGAATTGAGACCGAATAAAAGTATTGAAGTAAACACGAAACGTATCTTGAGTTGAAACAAACTTGGAACGTAACAACTGGTGGCCAGTATGAAATAGTAATAGGCCCTAAAGGACAAACTTTAACTGGTGGCCAGTATTAAACCAGGACGTAACACTAACAGTGACTGCAATTAGAGAAGTAATATCAAAACATAACTAAAAACCATGTCAAATTTAAGGAGTCACCTGTTTTTCACATTACTAGTCGCGGGCGATTTTAAAACGATAGTGTTACGATAGATTACCCAAGTTTTTTAACTTTTAATTTGGTGTTTTATTTTAAGTAGGAATGTTGGGATATTTTTCCTAATTACCATAGAATGATAAAATGTACACAGATTAATCCTATAATATACCCCATTGATAAAAATACCAAATTTATCATTCTAGGCCTAATAGTTTTTTTTATATGAATTTTTAAAGTTATGTATTAAACCTGTTATATATCACTGTAACATCGGATTTAATTGTGTGATTGGCTTTAGGCTTGCATACCACTGCTGCTATTCGAGATATAATTATAAAACTTTGCACATTAGTGCTAGAGAGTGTGGGCAATAGAAATATGAAAGTAAAATCAAAATTTGATGAAGGATAATTAGAACTAATCAAGTCAAATTAAAGTGAGGGGTGCTGTTCTATATAGGTCAATATGCAGACTGAAAGTCTATGTTTTTTTTTTTAATATTAAAACTGAAACTTTGCTAGAGGGTGGGGGCAATAGAAATATAATATAGAAAAAAATTATATTAAGTATGACTGCATATAATTAAAAAGTCCTATGAAAGGGTGTTGCACCCTTTTATAGTAATTATAGTGACTGCAACGGACGTATGTCCAGAATGTTACTATAATAGATAGGATACATTTTGGTTATTGATACTGAAGCATGTAATAAGAAGAATGCTAAAAAATAAAACTAGGGATGGTGTGTTAAAGCACTCAACTACTAACATGCAAGTCTTAAGCTCAGATCTCAGACGAGTCTGTCTGTGCAGCGTGCAGCATCCACCAAGCTCAGATGAGTACCTGACCCAAGGGAAAGTAAAGATAGCTTGGCAGAGAGCTAACCACACCATCACTTCATGTGCATGGGTCAAGAAACAGATAAACTCTACTTCAGCTGCTTTATGGATGATGGATTGACAGGTCCAAAAGGGAAACTACTTTAATATACTAGGGCCTTTATAAGACCCTATTGATATTTTGGTACAACTAAATTACTAATCAATAGAAAAACCTTACATTCTTGTAAAAGTTTATTAAGCTAAGTGTTAATTTGTACCAAATCAGAAGTTACAGCTTCCCTGTCTATCTGCTTATAGGAATATATAATTGGCAACATGCAGTGATTTAAATCCGTATTGTTTGTTGTTATTTTTTTTTGTTACTTTTTATTATTAAATGTAAAAATTGTATCCTAAATTATTATGAATAATAATTATCATGCCTTTTTCATGTCATTCTAAATTCACTGCCTTATTAATTAGTACCCCCCCCCCCCCCATGTCAATTGCTGCACCTTTTGTTAATTATTTACTAATGTCATAAGCATAATTATTACAAATAATTAAATAAGTTTATCACCAAGCTTCTTTACTTATCATAACCAATAATAGGCCCAGACTTACTTTATCAATTGATACATATAGTATATACTATATAGCATTAGTTATACTAAGAAATAGGCCTATAACTTATTTATAGTATGAAGTATAATAGTATATTAAAATTTAAAGGCTATTAGTATTAGTACTATTAGCCTTAAATCTAAGTAAGTAGGTATGTGTGAAATGCTTAACACTATTTAATGTAAGCCTAAGCTTCTTGCCTGTCGGTTTTAATAGATAACTTGATCAACGTATTTTATCTAGTTTTAACAGTGCCACCCACAATTTAAATTCTTTCCAACTTCGAAAACAACGTCATTGGCATTAGTGCGCGTATTTTATCGATAATAGGTAATGCGGTGCTAAACCGACGCCATGGCGTTGTCAAGGCCGAAGCGCTAGCTCGGGGATTTGACATGTATGATAACTCGTAAGCAGAAGTAGTAAGTGCCATAAAACCGTTATTATAATAATATTTGTTTATTTAATGGACACTTACAACTAATGGCAAGACACTTATAAAGGGTTTAATACGTAAACTTATTTAAAATGTGACAGCACCGTACGGGACATGTTCGCGAGATAAACTCATTAGAATCGTGCGATCGATTTCGGCTTAAAGATTGTCATAATGGCGGTAATTTTCTAATTGAAACATATAATACGACTACACTAGAATATCTATATCGAATATTTCTTAAAACTCGATTCCAACAGTGAGATTCGGCATTCTTCGGAAAAGGGCGAGTTTTTATAAAGACTGCATCGAAAAGTCCGGATGTTGAATACCGAATCGAAACAGCGGAAGTCGGAATGCCTAATTTTAAGTTAAAACTTTAAAGGGGTATATAGAGTCTACTTTGCAATTGAATAGGTTAAATTTAAAATGAATTAATTAAATTTAAAATGTAGATCTAGAATCTAGTCTAGATCTAGATTTCTAGATCTAGTCAATCTAGTGAGACAGACAACTAAACCTATGCCACTTAGACCAGCCTACTTCTTGTTTTGAATTTTCCATTTGTCGAAACTTAGAGCGATGTTAATACTAATTCCCGAGAACTTGGATAACCAAATGACATGATAACATAGATCTAATGTGTACAAACTGGCATTGAAATAAAAATTGATTTACAGCAGAATACGTAGCCTGTAATCAGTGTTCCTTCCTGGCATCTCTTCTCGGGGGGGGGGGGGGGGGGGGGCTCTGCCCCTCCCAAAAAAAAGTCTACCGCCGTCCCCCTCCCCCTTAAAAAAGTCTGGAAGAAACACTGCCTGTAATTTCTAATGTATGCATTGCGGCTCCGAAATTCGCTAAATAGTTGTTTATTATTTTTTAAACAAAATTGTAATAAGTGTGCTCTTAAAATTTTAAATGTCAACAAAGTCAATTCAATTGTTTTGTTTGTGTGAAAGCCCTACTACATTCTACATTTCCTCCCCGTCAATTACTCTCCGGTCATTTCCCCTCCCTCTGTCGTTACCAGAGGCGTAGTTAAGAGATGGGTGTTTTGGGGTGCCAACAATGGTAAAAAAAACTAAAAAAGTAAAGTGGCATCACTGATTTATATCATGTAGAAGCTCAGAAAATAGACTGCTACAAAGCTTTAGGCCTACGAATGCAACTGTTTTTTTTTCTAATAAATGTGAAAAAGCAAAATAAATAAAGGTAAAAAGAACCAATCAACCTTTCCCTAATTGGGGTGGGGAAGGCTTTTTGGACAACATAATTCGAAACGATTTTCACCGGCTTGATGGTTAGATAAATCTTTAAACACTTCAAAAGAAACCAATCGTACACATCAAAAGTAGGCAGTGTTTCTTCCAGACTTTTTTCTCCGGGGGCTTGATATTTTCGGGGGGGGGGGGGGGGGTGGACACTATTAAAAGTACGTTTTCTACATGAATTTCCATTCGCGAAGAGATGCCTGGAAGATACACTGAAAGTAGGCCTATCAAAACACATTGTACGTTTTATCTATCCAGTATTTTTGAGAAGTAGCAAAACTAATTCCTTGTAGTAAAAAGTAAAATGTTTATCTAAATTTAAACAGTTAAACAAGGCAAATCAGAGACTTCTACTTGATTGCTATAGATATTGTCTGCATCCGATGCATTTAAATGGGTTCTGAGGTAGTTTTCTGACCAAACAAAAAAACATAAACGGATCAAAGTGGATGGGGGAGGGGGAGACGAGAGAATACTTTTATAACCAGAATTCCAATAATTATGTTTTTTTTTAGAAACACATTTTTTTTACAAACACATTTTTTTTTACAAACACATTGTTTTACCAAATTTTATTTTATCTTAGCGTTAGCGATCAACTTTTGAGTCACAGTTATGCCAAAGAGGTATAACATTCTCCATGGACAATCCCCTATGTTCGTTGTGGCAGCTTACCGCGTAGGCTATATACCAAACACTAAAGATACAGTGTAGCATAAAAACAAGGGATGATTGCTCGTCTACCAGGCCGATGGCAGCCCTTGCTCTGTGACTTTTATCAGCCTAACACACAATTTAATTCTAGAATATAATTGATATTGCTCTCAGTAAAGTACCCTTTTAAACATTGCGGTCCATGTAGTTCACCTGTTCGGTGACCTCGGCATATGAAGGGGTAGTATGGTCAGCACTATGCCCAGCTGCCTTCTTACCTGTCCGTAAAGTGAGTCAGGTACCCACCAGAGCTAGGTGGACTCAAGGACGTTCTACTTACGCGAGCCCTGGATTCGAACTCGAGACTTTCGGTTTAGCAGTCGTATGCTCTACTACCCCATTGAGCCGTCCCAAGAGATCGTTTTAATGATAGGGTAAAACATAGATCAAACTAGTGTGCACCCGCAACGAACCACCCCCTAAACAGTTCCTCTTATTATTCTGTCTGTTGGTGTTACTAACTGTCTATCTGTGGGTGTGTCCAACCCGTTTTCGTTCCTTCGTTCTCCACAGGTACTTTTCCGCATACCTCCCAGAGGTTAAGATTATTATATTTAACTTTCATGATCTTTTCTACATAATTCGTTTCTATTTTGTTGGAGGGGGGGGGGGTGAGGGTGGATGGATGTGCTTCAGGGGGGGGGGGGGGGGGAGAGGCTACGATTTCCGACCCAGTTTTCCGACTCGAATACGCATAAAACGCCGAAATTCTGATAAATCTGGATTTATAATTTTTGCCCGCTAAAATAAGTCCCCTATTCTCTGTGATGAAGTACTGAGGTGTTAAACGATGAAAACTGTCAAAATTTCATGTGAATTTTTTTTTTTGTGCACGATAACAATACTTCCTCTGTACGTGAAAGTAAAAATAACAGGCTAACGCAGGAGTAGCGCCGCCAAGTAAAGTGCCATGAAACAGTAGCGGAAGGGAGGATAGTGTCGAATTCACTAACTACGAAGTACTGAAAAGTAGAAAATAAAACAACTAAATAGCGGCGTGTAATACGCAGCGGGTCAGCTCATTTATAATATTAATGTACTCTCATGACGTTCGTCTGCTCTCTGCGATCCCGACAAGAGATAAGTCTCGAATTTGCAAACCGGGCTCAAGTCCCTTGGACGTCCCAGAGTCCGCCCAGCAGAGTTTCTACTCTTCGGGGGGGGGGGGGGGGGGGGGGGGGCTTTGACCCCCCGAAGAAATTTCGCCCCCCCCCCCCCGGAGGAAATAGTCTACAAGAAATACTGCCGTCCAACTCTGATGGGTTACTGATTCCAGTTGGGGAAAAGAAAAGGTGGACGGCCATAGCGCGACCATACTCTACTTCATCTACCCTTTACAAAAGAAGACACTGCACAACCTTCAGATCCCAGCCCACATTACAATTAAAATTACTCATCACACACGAAGCACCCTCTTAATTAATAGTAGGCGTGCTATATTTCTACATTTCTTTACAAATCGCACAAAATGTAATCACCCATCAAACATGAATCGGATATAGTTTCCCAAAAATTTACGGACAACTCGCTGGGCACCTATCTCACCTCTGTATATCAAACTCTCATGTTCTTTAGTGGGTACGCGAATATGACACCAAAGTGCTACAAAAAAAAACCCATTTAAACTGCTGAATACATTCACTTGTGTAGGTCTATAAACGAGCAAATAGTTCTAGACGTATTGTCTATGGTAAAGTGACAAGATTGTAATCATGCATAATACAATTGGGTTGAGTGACCACTTCAACAAACAGGTCACTTGGAGGCGTTGAACACTTTTAAATGTTTAAATTAACTTCCCATGTTTATAAAATTAAGTCACTGAACTCACTGCTGCGCACTATTGTTATATTTAATATTTAATGTGGAGTTAAAGATTTTTATGATAGAGTTACGATATTATAAACGGAATAAAGCATGTATTTTACTTTTCAAATTTGTTGGCTGCTTTCTATTGTAAGTTTTTATTTAATACTGTATTAAAGTCTGTTTATTTTAATTTAAAAATATGTTTGTTTGGATTTTAAAGGAAGAGTTAATGGAAAATAATTGTACCTCTTAATCCCACTGAATACAACACAATGTAACAAAATAATAATCCATATGTGACAATGGGTAAAATAAATCGTATATGTAATATGATACACCAGTGGCGTAGCGAGGTCGGGTGTCACCCGGTGCGGCACTTAATGGTGTCACCCCCCCTAGAGGCGTTACGACCCTTCCCGGGGACAAACTTTCAAGTTTTCGATTTGCACCCCCCCCCCCTCAAACTTTCGATTTGCACCCCCCCCCCCCCTCAAAACTTTCGATTTGCACCCCCCCCCTCAAGTTTTTCTCTATATATTTTGCTATTTTTTTGCCTTGGTGTCACCCCCCTAAATGGTGTCACCCGGTGCGGTCCGCACTCCCGCCCCCCCCCCCCCCCCCTCGCTACGCCCCTGTGATACACCACCAAAGGCCCTATCATCAATGCAATAAATATGTGCATGAAACAAATAAAATAGCTGTATTTATCATATTTTCCAAGCTTACTATATATTGACTGTTATGTTTATCTATTTGGCTTGGTATTGTATTTTAGATCTTCGTGGTTGCAAATGGCAATAGATGCAAATTTAGAGAATCAGTCACATGCACTAAAAATAACTTCTGTATTGAAGAAATCTGCAATTGCTGTCACAAAGGTATTGTTTGAATTAATGATAATTTACTTGCCATTTATTTTGACGAAAAAGATACAGAGTGAAATAAAAATACATTATCCATTGAATATCTATGTTTGTATTTATAGTTTTCTTTTACTAACCTGTTAAAATAAAATTGTAAATGGTCGCAGTCGTGAATAATCTCAAATGATTTATTCAATGTTTAAAATTTTTGGTGCAATCAGACTTGACTGAACATTAGATGTAGATCTAGGCATATTATATGTTTTTATTATTTTCGGTCACTAAACTTTTAAAAAGCCAAAAACATGTTTATTTTTTTATTTAATTGTTGAAAATGTAAATAAACATTGCATAACTATGTCACTTGGTCTAAAAAAAATAATTTTAATTAATTTTGTGCAACTAAGCAAATTCGATTTTTTTTTTAAAACTATGCAACGATCGAACCCATCTCGCTAGATGGGCAGCTTCAATTAGTTAGTCTGATGTTAATTATTACAATATGTTTTTAAAAGTGTTAAATTTTGGACTCATATCGTCATTTTTAACAAAAATAAATAAAAATAAAACAATTACACCACACAAATAACCTCATTTTATAAATCATAGTATTTAGAGCTACACCAGTCGAAGCACGTATACCACCTACCCCCACCACCAGACGAGATAGACGTTATAGAGGAAATATACACTTTTACATTTGCCCCCCCATCCCTCCTCCGGAAAATTTAGTTCCCAAAACTTTCAAGTGTCCACCTCCACCACCCCCCTCTCCATACCCCGGAGAAAAAAGTCTGGGAAAAAAACGCTGTGCGCAATATACAGTACAACTATATCACACAGCTAAGTGGCTAATGAAAATTATTTTTTAAATTTAAATTTGACTTTTCCCATATTGATGAAATACCGATACTTAAATCAGCGGAAGTTTCTATCCCCTCCTCCTCCCTCCTCGAGAAAAATGTCTGAAAGAAACCCCTGCTTAAACACAAACAGAAAACATGAAACTTACTATGACTAAGAACCTAACTTAACCCTTTCGCACCTTGCAGGTAAATCATGTCCTGAGATTTATCAAGAACCTCCGTCGATTTCCGTAGAAGATAACAGCACCACAACATGTAAGATTACAATTAGAGGAGTTGACTTCAATTTTTATTCTTTAAGGTAGTGTTTTCTAGAACTATCTGTATTTTCTAATACTTATTCACAGCAACGGAATAACCATTTTAATAAATGTAAAATAGACTAATAAAACAAGGATTAGCGTACAACAAATCAGAATATACGTTTCGAAGTGATCTCCCCTTGATGAGTTGCAGTCTCCAGCTACTCGGCCTTATCTGGTGGGGTACGAACTTAGAACCAGAGTTTCTTCCAGGCATCTCTTCGGGGGGGCGAAGCCCCCCCGAAAAATTTTTACCGCCCCCCCGAACGATATGAAATTTATATAATTTATATAGAAAATATATACTTTTAACAGTGTCCGCCCCCCCGAAGAAAGTTTACCGCCCCCCCCGAAGATTTCAAGTGCCCCCCCGGAGAAAAAAGTCTGGAAGAAACACTGCTTAGAACTGTTGGAGTTAACAACAGAGCGCTTCCCTAACCGACAACGCTGCTCCTTTATTACCTATCTGGATAAGCGTTTTTGAATAAAATATACGTTTATTAACTTGGTTTGTGTCGTTTTATTTAATAAAACACAAACTATCGCTTTTTATATTATTTATGTAGAAGAATGAAGACCAACAGTGCATGTTTATTATTATTTATTTTTTGTACGTTGTATACAAAGAAAATATTGTTCACAATGAATCAACAAGAATTAAAACATATCTCTAGTCAAAGAAAACTACATATATAATTTTTTACAGAATCCAACCAACTGAATCTAATACAGGAAACTGCAAGGAAGAATATTTTGAAGTTTATGATGGCGCAAATATCAGTAGCCAACAGCTAGCTCTTTACTGTCCTGGAGAGCCCACTGTTGTCATGGGAACCAAGGATACCATGTTTATTGTTTACACAATATCTAATGTATCTAAATTCAGTGGCTCACTGGAGATTCAAGGTACGTGGACACATTAATTAACGAAGCCATAACTGCTTTATTATATAATAAATTTGGTCCAGAGGCGTAGCAAGGGCGGTGGGGGCGGGGGGGGGGGGGTACATATGTCCCCGGGCGTCAACCTTAGGGGGCGCCAAAATAGGTTGGAAAAACTAATTGAAAGTTTGAGTGGGGGGTTCAAATTGAAGTTTTGAGGGTGGGGGGGGGGGAGGGTTGCAAATTATAAATTGAAAGGTTGTTCCCGAGGGGGCGCCAAATTAAAAGTTTGTCCCCGGGCGCCTCTGCTTTGGTCTGAAATTTTAATAGATATTTTTATTATTCTTAATAGTGACATAAATGCATCAAAACAAATCTATAACTGTTTATTGTATAATACACTTGTTTTTAAGTTTAAACTTGATTTAAGTTAAACCTGAGTAGAGTGCATACAAGCACGGCAACAAAGTTATAATTGCTAATTGTGTAGTGCATTTGTTTTTTTTTTTTTTTAAATTTTAATTGATGTTGACTTAAATCTGAGTAGGGCACGAGAAATCACCATGTAGTCTTGGCGATCAATCTAGAAACCAGAATGGAGCTTGTATGAAGTTATTTTCTAATGAAGTAAATTGGAATAAAGCACAAGTAAGTAATTTGAGTCATTCCCTACCACAAAAAGCCACCATTAGTGCAACCGTAGCTAAACCCACGGTAGTTAATCCCTAATCTTAATCTAGATTTTAAAAAATAACAATAGATGATCAATTAGACGTAAATTATATTATACTAAAACACGGAACAAAACATGAACTTTATATATTTTTTTAAATCAGATAAATTCACTACAGTCTTAGCATACAAAATTATACATAAACTGAAAAAAAATTACACAACAACCAAACAAACAAACACATACTAAACATACATAACAAGCTACAAAACACCCAGTCAAGTTACACACGTAAACTGAATAGAAGAAAACATCGAGAAAAGAAAATATGTACATAAATATATACACATGGTTAAGAAAAGTGATAAAATACTAACTTCTAAGGATAACTACGCTCTAAGGCCTCGAGTAAAATACCAATCCCTACTACTAACATTACTTCTAAAATCTAAATTCGGTTCTTATTACTAATTTAATCCTAGTCTTACCAAGACACGCACAAGGTACTCATCATGGTTAAATATAGTCACCAGTAACAATCTTAGCAAAATTTTGCTAAGCAATTAAAAATAATGTGTTATAAATTACATTAGAGCCATTTCTTTTTCACAAAGGAATCATCCCGCAGCCATTGTTCTAAACCAGGGGTTCCCAACCTTTTTTTTTACTCTAGAGCACATTCTAAAATATCGGTAGGGTGGCGGGCACCACCTATTTTAAATTGGCAAACACGTTCCAGAGGCGTAGCGACCCTTCCCGTCACCCGGGGACAAAACTTTCGATTTGCACCCCCCTCAAATTTTCGATTTCCAACCCCCCCCCCCCCCTCAAATTTTCGATTTCCACCCCCTTCAACCTTTTAATAATGTTTATGAAAAAAATTCTGTCTCTGTCGAATAGTGAGAGGCGGGCACATACGAATCGTTCGGCGGGCGCCATGGCGCCCGCGGGCACGGGGTTGGGAACCCCTGTTCTAAACCAACAATATATAAAAAAGAAACACTGCATGAATAAACAACAACCGTACTTGTTAGCAATAAATGTTGAGGTTGACTGAATTTAAACACGCACATATTTTAATGCAACTATATCTACAACTCGAGGCTAAAAAAAGAAACATGACTATACTTAGCACCGGAAGCGTAGCGAGGGGGGGGTGTGTGCGGATAACACCATTTAGGGGGGTGACACCAAGGCAAAAAAATATCAAAATATATAGAGATAAATGATAATTCCACTTAATTAAGTGATTAATTCGAGTGTTAAATAGTCTTTTAAGAGGTGCAAACCGAAAGTTTGAGGGGGGGGGGGGGGGGGGGGAGGTGCAAATCGAAAATTAAAAGTTTGTCCCAGGGAAGGGTCGCTATGCATCTGGGGGGTGACACCCGACCTCGCTACGCCACTGCTTAGCACTATAAAAATCAACTTGAAAACTAACTAAACCTAACGTGACTATAGTGGGAAACTCACAATTATAAATTTGTAAAGCATAAAATCCACATTAAATCAGTCTAGGAAAAATCACCTAAACCAGATGGCCTGAAAGACACAACACCGCTACAGGTTCAGGAAATACAAGAAAACTAATCACACCTATATTCAAAATATCAACAAGTAACTTTGAAACTCACACAGAATCAAAATAAATAATTTAAAAAATCCATAAATGCATCCAATGCGAATTCTATTGGTAGAGATTCTCGTCGAAAAAAAAAAAGACCTTGAAGCTTCGACCTTGTTCTCTTTAAATATAATTTCCGACCGGTAGGAATTCAATTCATTTCAACTTACGTTTCCACACACTTAAAAAAAAAACGTTACGCCACAAATTAAAATAAAAAAAAATTAATAGTCACAATAATCACATACAATTTGTAGAAAAATATTTAAAACGAAAACTACAAAATCCTAATTAAAATAAAATAACTTATCATTTTGTTTTTTCACAGGAAAAGTGTATGAAGTTACCAGGAGGTGCAACTCTCCTTCAAGTCACAGATGATATTTTTCCATTTGGTTTTAAACCTAGATATTCTGGCATTGAGAAATACAGTTATGTTATTTTATTTTTATCTTGTATTGACAAGTTAAGAAATTACAGATATATAAGCTCCTATTTCCTTTAAAGTAGTCAATCTTGTTTGCTTTATTACTTGGATAAATCAATATTTTTTTTTATAATCGTTAGTTTGGTTTGGAGCAACTGATCAACTTATGGAAGGCGACTGGAGGTGGCCAGATAATTCGGAAGCTAACATAGGCTCGATGTGGTGCAAGAATGAGCCAAATAACCTTAATAGTGAGCATTGTACTGAAATGCATTCAAACGGAAAGCTAAATGATGTACCGTGTGATATTAAGAGAATATACATCTGTTTGGAAAAAAGTAAGAACATTTATGTCAGTAAAAATTACGTTATTAAACTTATATTTTAAAATGGTTTTCTTATATCTTTGGGATTTAAAAAAAAAGTTAAATGTGTATGTAAAAATTAATAAACGTACCTTCAGTGTGCCATAGGGGAGATAAAATAGATTTATCTATTAATTTGAACTCAAGAATTAGATGAAACATGTGGTCAGCACTATGTCTACTAGACTACTTCCCTAGTACAATAATTGACCAACTCTGTTTAGCATATTTTTTCCTACCAATTGATATTCTTGTTTCATAATAATATCTTAAACTTTTGCTGATAAATAGAGACTGATATTTTTTTTTTAACCAGTAAATTTAAAAACTATGTATTTTTGTGTGTTTGTGCATGTCTAATGGATAATGAATAAATTTCAAAATTATGTTGTGTTAAAATAAACCGGTAGTGATCTCCCCTAAACTTTCTCGAATATTCTTATATAAAACAACAAGGGGATGGTAACTGGGGATATAGTTATGATTTTTAATCCATTTTAAATACTAAAACTTTTAAAAATAGAATAGAATCTCAGTAAAAAACAATTGCGCACCAAGCGAACGCCTAATAAAGGTGTGTATAATAGTGCGCAATATTATTAGTACTTTTAAAATTTACATTAGTTTTTTGAGAAATCGGAAGTAGCGTAAATTACTACTTCCTGTCAACGGAAATTACTCAAAATTTAACAGAAGGTAGAGAATTAGATCTTTTACTTACATGTGAAATTTCATTTATCTATCTGAAATAGTACTCAAGTTATAGGCTTTTAAAAAATTCAAAGTAGGAAAAGTACCACTTCCGGTTATCGGAAATCGCTCAAAAGTTGATACGGATCTACGATTTTGATAAAATACTTATATATGAAATTTCATCAACCTAGCTGTAACGGTACTCAAGTTATCGTGTTTACACACGGACAGACAGACAGACAGACAGACACACACACACACAGACATACGGACAAGATTGCAAAATTATGTTTTTCCGTATCAGTGAGGTGTAAAACGTCGAGATTTGTAAAAATCTCGATTTTTTTTTTTTGCACGATTACAATACTTTCTCTATACTACGTATATACGAGAAAGTAAAAAAAGATGGAATGTGTGAATGAACTTATTGTGTTAAATAATTGAAGAAGGTTTAACATACGTTTGAATAAAGATAAGAATGAGGACACATGGGTATTAGACTATAGCGGCATATAGTAAAAAGAATGCACTATTTCAAGCATGCATACTCTATTGAACATAATATAACTTAATTTTAAACCACCCTCATTACAAATTTTATTTGTCGACAACTCTTTAACGTTGTTGTAGGATTGATAAATCTACAATCAATATTAACATCTCCACCAATGCTGGGTACTTCACAATGTAACATTATTAAAAAGCTTATCACAGATAAAATATTAACTGTATAGACTAAAACTGAATTATTTTGTTTTACTTTTTAGAGAATTGCATTTAAAATTACTACACTTAATTATTTCTGGTATTGCTAGCAGTTAATTTTTGTGAAATGTTAGTTTGGTGTTTTAATCAGGTTAGGTAAACCTCTGTGAAACTCAATTTGAATCACTTTTGCTATAACAGCATGAACAGGACAATGTATTTGTATGAGATTTCTAGCTTTTTACAAGCTTTTATTTAACTTGCCTCCTCTCTATGTCTGTCTGTCGTCATGGATCGCAACTGGTGAGCAAAATTTAGACCACTTCTAACTGACAAATTGCTTTGAAACTAGGCAGGTGTGACAAGAGCAATAACAATGCAATGTGACATAATTTGACTTGGATGCTTAATAAATAATTGTATGCTTTATTAATTTTTTAAAATTAATTAAAGTTTACTGTTTAAAGTACAATATACCGCACTATTAAATGCAAATTGTTCGTGTACATTTAGCGTGCAATTGTTTTTAGTAATTCAATTCTGCTGTATTAAAAAATAATTATTAAGAAAATTAATTAAAAATTCATGAAAACGTTTTAATAACAATTGTTTATTTAATAACGCTCTAAAAAGGAGAAAATTAATGATTTTCTTTAAATGCATGCTAATGAACTACTATTTTAATAACTACAAAGAAAAGCGTGGATCGTTTTATGATATATTGAATATCTTTATATCATGATTCCCATTAATAACAGGCTTCGCTTAAAGGTTTAAAATACAAAGAGTACCCAATATGAAACAATTATAATTTATGTTACTAACAATAGAATAAAATTAAATACCGTTAGCTACGTTTAGGACATTTGAAAAAAATCTTTATAACATAATTAAGCATCTATTAAAGTAAAATTTGAAGTCAAATTACATTGCGATTGGATCTTGACCCACGTGCCATGTTTCATAGAAATAGGTCGATTAGAAGTGGTCGAATTTTCGCTCGCCAGCTTCAATCCATGACAACAAAAGACAGACAAAGGAAAACATTCAAATAAAAGCTCGCAAAAAGACAAAAGCACAAGGAAGCAAGATAAATAAAAAGCTTTTAAAAAGAATTTATTTTCTGTTTCTTTTTTTAAATTGTTATTAAGCTTGTTAAAATGTTTATAATTATTTTTTTTGGACTTAGGTTTCAAAATGCTGTAACATAAGTGATTAATTATGTTTCTGTTGCCTTTTATTGTTTAGAGAAGTCTATTGGAGGACTATGCACAATTAACTCAGATTGTAAGGACAGTATGATCTGCTTATACGGAGTGTGCGACTGTCCGATCAGCCACATATTTTTTACTGCGCTCAACCAATGTATCCTTGGTAACTTTTTCTTCTACCTTATAAAATCATATCGTCCCCGTCCCTGCGCGTTGCCTCAGTATCAGAAGAAAGTATAACGCAATATTTTATGAGGATTTTATCAATGCGTTAGCAGTCCTATATTCCTAGGCGTGTGATCTTGTTTTCTAAAACTGAGTTATCTAAATATAAGCAATGTCTATTACTATTAGTCTTGGATAATGTTTTTGCACGATTACAATACTTCCTCTATACTTCGTATACGAGAAAGTAAAAAAAAAATCAATTCTTCCAATTTTTTATCACTCAAAGATTCACCAGCTGCAGAATGCAGTAATCTTGAAGCCCAAGCATATGATGGAGTGTGTCTTCAAAAATTTCCAGATCCTTCTGATAAGCTATTGGCTAGGGTAAAACAGGAAATGTGTATAAACATAATTAAATAAACTATTACCCTTAATTGCTTTTATTTAATATAAAAAGTATTTTAAAAAAACAGTATTAAAAAAAAAAAGAAAAAAAAAAACAATTAGACTGAAAACAATTTCTACTATTAACCATTTTGTAAAAGATACTTTTTCTCTTATAATTTTTAAAATAAAGTGTAGCTATAGAGTTACAAAGTGTTTAAACCAAAATATAATTATTTATGCAAAAAGAAAAAATAATCAGCTTATATAATAAAATAATAATATACTTTTCATTGTATTGGAATATATTTTAGACTCTGTGCTCAAATCTGAGTTCACCATCAACCATCATACAACTTAGACCAAACTACCTCCCACCAGATTTTCAGCCATTGTACATCGATATTGATAAACCAGGTATGAAAGTTATTAGACCAATTATGAATTTTATGCTGTGAATAACACAAAAGTTACCAAGGTAACCCCTTTCGTTTTTTTAGAGCTTGAAGTGCTGTCCGTTCTTCTTGTTCTTTGTTTTTCATTGCGATGTTGCAAGGGGTTTCCTCTATCTCAATTAAGGATTACGCGTTAACATGCTGTACGCCATAGAGCCCGTTGACTCTGATTTCAGCCTGCTTTCTGGAATTGCTTCCATAGCTTTCATACATACAAGAACAAGCTACAAGACGGCAGTTGTAAGATTTTGGAATTTTCTTTCCTAGATAGGTTGCTGTCCAAACTAGCGAGCCTCATCTGCAGAGGGTTTGAACTCGGGATTTTTCGGTATAGCAACCATAAGGTTTACCAGCCCAACCACGCCGTCCTCTAGTGTTGTCTATAATAGTTGAAAATCAAAAGCAACAGTACTTCTTTTTATCCCTGATATTTCGGCATGGTGTCAATGATGTATCTCATTATGTTTATTTCTGCTTGTGTGTCATTGCGCCAAAGATGTATTTCATTCTGTTTATCCCTGTTTTTGCGGAAGTCAATGATTATCTAATTCAGTTTATCTCTTTTAGTGTGGCATCTCATTATATTTAACCCTTTTAGTGTGGCATGGTGTATCTCATTATATTTAACCCTTTTAGTGTGGCATGGTGCCAATGATGCATCTCATTATATTTAACCCTTTTAGTGTGGCATGGTGCCAATTATGCATCTCATTATATTTAACCCTTTTAGTGTGGCATGGTGCCAATGATGCATCTCATTATATTTAACCCTTTTAGTGTGGCATGGTGCCAATTATGCATCTCATTATATTTAACCCTTTTAGTGTGGCATGGTGCCAATGATGTATCTCATTATATTTAACCCTTTTAGTGTGGCACGGTGCCAATGATGCAGCTCATTATATTTAACCCTTTTAGTGTGTCATGGTGCCAATTATGCATCTCATTATATTTAACCCTTTTAGTGTGTCATAGTGCCAATTATGCATCTCATAATATTTAACCCTTTTAGTGTGGCACGGTGCCAATAATGTATCTCATTATATTTAACCCTTTTAGTGTGGCATGATGTATCTCATTATATTTAACCCTTTTAGTGTGGCATGATGTATCTCATTATATTTAACCCTTTTAGTGTGGCACTGTGCCAATAATGTATCTCATTATATTTAACCCTTTTAGTGTGGCATGATGTATCTCATTATATTTAACCCTTTTAGTGTGGCATGATGTATCTCATTATATTTAACCCTTTTAGTGTGGCATGATGTATCTCATTATATTTAACCCTTTTTGTGTGTTATGGTGCCAATTATGCATCTCATTATATTTAACCCTTTTAGTGTGTCATGGTGCCAATTATGCATCTCATTATATTTAACCCTTTTAGTGTGGCACGGTGCCAATAATGTATCTCATTATATTTAACCCTTTTAGTGTGGCATGATGTATCTCATTATATTTAACCCTTTTAGTGTGGCATGATGTATCTCATTATATTTAACCCTTTTAGTGTGTCATGGTGCCAATTATGCATCTCATTATATTTAACCCTTTTAGTGTGTCATGGTGCCAATTATGCATCTCATTATATTTAACCCTTTTAGTGTTGCATGATGCATCTCATTATATTTAACCCTTTTAGTGTGGCATGGTGCCAATTATGTATCTTATTATATTTAACCCTTTTAGTAGGGTATGGTGCCAATGATGCATCTCATTATATTTAACCCTTTTAGTGTGGCATGATGCATCTCATTATATTTAACCCTTTTAGTGTGTCATGGTGCCAATTATGCATCTCATTATATTTAACCCTTTTAGTGTGGCACGGTGCCAATAATGTATCTCATTATATTTAACCCTTTTAGTGTGGCATGATGTATCTCATTATATTTAACCCTTTTAGTGTGGCATGATGTATCTCATTATATTTAACCCTTTTAGTGTGTCATGGTGCCAATTATGCATCTCATAATATTTAACCCTTTTAGTGTGGCACGGTGCCAATAATGTATCTCATTATATTTAACCCTTTTAGTGTGGCATGATGCATTTCATTATATTTAACCCTTTTAGTGTGGCTTGGTGCCAATGATGCATCTCATTATGTTTAACCCTTTTAGTGTGGCATGATGCATTTGATTATAATTAACCCTTTTAGTGTGTCATTGTGCCAATGATGCATCTCATTATGTTTAACCCTTTTAGTGTGGCATGATGCATTTGATTATAATTAACCCTTTTAGTGTGTCATTGTGCCAATGATGCATCTCATTATATTTAACCCTTTTAGTATGGCACTGTGCCAATGATGCATCTCATTTTGTTTAACCCTTTTAGTGTGTCATGGTGTCAATGATGTAGGCCTATCTCATTATATTTAACCCTTTTAGTGTGGCATGATGCATCTCATTATGTTTAACCCTTTTAGTGTGGCATGATGCATCTCATTATGTTTAACCCTTTTAGTGTGGCACGGTGCCAATAATGCATCTCATTATATTTAATTTGCCAATGTTGCATCTCATTATATTTAACCCTTTTAGTATGGCACGGTGCCAATGATTAATCTCATTATATTTAACCCTTTTAGTGTGGCATGGTGCCAATGATGCATCTCATTATATTTAACCCTTTTAGTTGGGCATAATGTATCTCATTATACAATTAACCCTTTTAGTGTGGCACGGTGCCAATGATGCATCTCGTGAAGGCGAATGGAGGTGGGATGATGACGACAGCCTAGCTAATCTAACAGGGATGTGGGTACCGGGCGAGCCAAACAATAGCGACCATGGCCGTGAAGAGGATTGTACAGAGCTATTAACAAATGGTGGATTGAACGATGCGTCTTGTGATATTGTGAGATCTATTATCTGTATGGAAAAAAGTGGGTACATGTCCTCATAATGTATCAATAATAATTTCTCGTATAAATTATATAAATTAAGTATGAAGAATTTTTTTACTTTGCAACTAATAATTATATTTAAAACTCAGCGATTTATAAGAAAGATTACAAATACGATGGATCGTAAGTTGCATTATAGTTTTCAACTTGATCACTTATTTCCTTCGAATAAAAACTTTTCTTTACTAACTTAATGATAATTTTACAATGGAGTCAATTTGAAATTTTAACGCCCTATTATGTTAAAGCCTCAAGAAAAATATTTTTTTAAAGTGGTCATTTCCACTCTAGGAATCGTTCTTAAATGAAAATGACGGAGTGGTCTAGCGGTAGAGAGCTGGACCGCTAACCCGTAAGTCTCGAGTTCGAATCCGGGTTCAAGTCAGTAGACTGTCACTGAGTTCACCCAACTCTGATGGGTACCTAACTCACGTTAGGAAAAGTAAGGGCGGCTGGGCATAGTGCTGACCACACTATCTCTTCATATGCCGAGGTCACAGAAACAAGTGGACTCTACTTCACTTGCCCCATAGACCGTCAGGTTTGAAAGGGAAACTTTACTTTACTTAAGTTAAAGCCGCATGAAAAATAATTTTTTAAAGTGGTCATTTCCACTCTAGGAATCGTTCTTACATGACAATGATGAATAAAACTGTGACGTTGTTTTAGGCGGGTAAGAAATGTAACGCAACACATATTTTGTGTTTTTAAACATCAGCTATTTATTATTTATTATTTATTTCAGAGCGCACTCTAGGTGGGAAATGTGTACAAGCTTCGGAATGCCAAGACAGCATGAGTTGTGTTGAGGGTGTGTGTGACTGTACAGCCTCCCAGTACTACAACTCTAATACGAGGTCTTGTATGTCAGGTATGTCTGGCATAACTAGAGGAACAATTATTATAATTAATGTAAGCATTACTAGAAAGGGAGAAGGGCATATATTCCTAGGAATGTAAGCATTAGTAGAGGCAGAGGCGTAGCGAGGGGGGGGGGGGGCGGGGGGGTGTGCGGACCGTACCGTGTGACACCATTTAGGGGGGTGACACCCACCAAGGCAAAAAATAGTAAAATATATAGAGAAAAACTTGAGGGGGGGGGGGTAGTAAATCGAAAGTTTGAGGGGGGGGGGGGTGCAAATCAAAAGTTTGAGGCGGGTGGGGGGTGCAAATCGGAAGTTGAGGGGTGGGGTGCATATTGAAAATTTGAAGGGTCGCTGCGCCTCTGGGGGTGACACCATTAAGTGCCGCACCGGGTGACACCCGACCTCGCTACGCCACTGAGTAGAGGCGGCAGTTATTCTTAGTAATCTAAGCAATACTTAAGTGCAAATTAAAGGTTTTGCAATGTAAGTATTACTGAAGCGTGAACTTATGTAATAAAGTCAGAGCCCTAAATTGAAAAGCTGTAGTAGGCTGATAAATTAAATGTAGAAATGCAGACAACGACAAGTCTTCATTGTACGCCTCTATTTACCGGCCTATGTAATGGGAGGCATTAATCGATTGAGAAATTTAAATAATAAAGCGGGAATGGTCACCCCTAAACTTTCTCGAATATTCTTATATCACACCAAGGGGGATAGCAACTCCATTGTAATCGGGATATAGACATGTTTTTGAATCAATTTTTGAATACTTATTGTTAAAAAGTAGAACTAGGCTACCCGTTATCCTTGGATAACTGTGGGTTTTAGGGTCATTCGTAATTACATCACACTTCTTTGATAATTTTGTATCGCACGGTTACAAAAAGCTAAACAAGTTAATAAAAAGTCTAGTGACTATTTAAGCGCAATTTCCTTATCTTATCCATAACAATTTTAAATCGAGATAAATCATATATTCAGCAAATAAATAATGCAACACAAGTAGTTTCAATAATTCAAAACAAAATAGAAAAAATCCTTTCGAAACTCCGCTCATTCGCTATGGTAAAATCCTTTCGAACCTCAGCGCTTTGCGCTAAATCATTCTAGGCCTACACGATGCTCAGTTTAAAAATTCTTAATTAATTTTTTGTAGCCGAACGAAAGGATATTTTTGAAAACTTTCTTCGGCAATATTGTTCTAAATTATGGGGAGGGGGGGGGGGGGGGAGGGGCGGACTAAAAATTTCGGGGGGGGGGGGGCGGACACTGTTAAAAGTATATATTTTCTATATAAATTCCATTTCGCTCGAGGGGGGGCGGTAGACTTGCTGTGGAGGGGGGGGGGAGCTCCCCGTAGAGCTGCCCGGAAGAAACTCTGGCTCTCACATACAGGGCAAATTAACAAATCTAGGACAGAAGATTTATTTATTGTCAAAAGATTTAGCCAATAGGGAATAGGCCTACATACAAAAGATACACTTTTAAAAAGTAATGTTTTAAGTGATAAAATGAATTGTTAATCTTATGTAGCTTACGCAGAATTAAAAGTATTAATTAAAGTTTACTAATTATTTTGTCAAGATGCTACCATACAAACTACTTGCGTCCAAAATGAAACCTGTATTTGGAACACAGGCAAATGTGAATATGCTACAAATCCAAGGAGTTTTAAAACAAGAATATGTAAATTTTGTAAGTTGCAGTTACTTAACTTTAGCTGTATAATTAATTTCTTGTATTCATCTGTACATTAATTAGCAGGACTATACAAATAATTGCAGACTTTCTATTGTTGAACGAAAATTTCCTTACATTCAACGAACAGAAGTAATAATTTGTAAATTCAATATAAATAATTACTGTATTAAAACATTTTAAATTATCATAAGCCACTATCGAACACCTAACTGAGCTCTTTGTTTCTCTTTCTACAGTGTTAAAGGGCATAAACGAAAGCTGTTCAGAAGAATTTCTCTGTTCAGAATCTTTATATTGTATCAACCAATCATGTGCTTGCGATGAAGAAGAAAAGTTTGAAATGCAAAGGCAAAGATGTAAAACAAGTAAAATAAAATAATTGAAAAAAAACCTAAACTATATATTTAAAACTATATTTTAATTACTGATAAGGGGGTCTAGTCAAATTTTCTCCCATTTAAATAGTAGTTTAGATCATTAGAGATTATGTTATTGTAAGAAAAGAAGGAATGTATCCATTGAGGATTTAAATATTATACACCTTTTTAATTAAAAGCTAGCCAAGTATTAATATTGATTTTCGTTTCTGACGTAAGAGGGTCTCTGTAAAAGCTTTCTACTGTACAGAGTCCTCTGCCATTTTCTTCAGCTGTTTCCCAACTTTTCCTATCCTTTTGGTCCCATCAAGCACTTTAAGCTGCCAAGTCTTCTTAACGTTTTTTAAACGGTAGTGTTTACATTATTGCTGAACCAGAAAACAAATTATTGTATAACTGACAGTGTAAAAAGAAAAAAATCGTTATTTAGTATGGTTTTAGAGACTCGTGTACATTCAATAATAAAATTAGTAATCAATCTTACGGATCGCGCAAAGTTTAATCTTACTTTGACCATTCTTATCCCTCTATTGCTTCAAATATGTTTTTGTTCACTCCTCTAGCCGAACTTTCTCAAAAAAATGTAACGAAAATCAACATCTTTGTTGCTTTTCTTTTAATTTGCCAATTAAAAAAAAAGATAAAAAACAAAAGACATAAAAAGTTATTCTGACACAGAGGCGTAGCGAAGGGGGGGGGGGGGGGGTGCGGACCGCACCGCGTGACACCATTTAGGTGGGTGACACCAAGGCAAAAAATAGCAAAATATATAGAGAAAAACTTGAGGGGGGTGGGTGCAAATCGTAAGTTTGAAGGGGGGGGGGTGCAAATCGAAAATTTGAAAGTTTGTCCCATGGGAAGGGTCGCTACGCCTCTGTGGGGTAACACCATTTAGTGCCGCACCGGGTGACACCCGACCTCGCTACGCCACTATTCTGACACATTGTGTTTCAGAAAATAATTTTGGGGAGACGTGTGAGTCGAGTTCAGACTGCAGAAAAGAATTTATTTGTGATCAAGGCATTTGTAGTTGTAAAAGCCACGGGGTGTTTTTGCAAAGTACTCAAAAATGTGCAGCACGTAAGTTTCAAAGTAGAATTACCATTTTCAAGTTCACTAGACAGTGACTTCGACATTGCATTTCTGTAATGTTTATTCGATAAGAATGCATCACGATCTTTAATTCCGGATAATTAGTGATGTGTAGATATAGAGACAAAAATGGTTAATTAACTATTAAGCATTTTAAGATGAATTTATATTTTCATTCCGAAACTGAATATCATTAGAATTTACAATAGTAATTTATTTTGTGTAATAATAACTTCATTATTCCCAGTTAGGGATACATGCCGCTTGATCATAATAGGCCTACTTAGAAGTTATTTGAAAACACGTATATATATATATATATATATATATATATATATATATATATATATATATATATATATATATATATATATGTGTGTGTGTGTGTGTATCGTATATAAAAAAAGCTAATGGAAATAAATTAGTGTAATTTTTTAAATAAATTGAAGGTGTTAAATAATTAAGACTAATCTAAAAACCATTGGCAGTTCCAAGTGTAAATGAAGGATGCAATGCATCTCTTCCATGTGCCAGTAATTTGATTTGTAGTCGACAAAATGTTTGTGGCTGTCCCGATAACGAAATATTTTATGCCAACTTCGAAGTCTGCCATCCAAGTAAGTTATCATATCAATTCATTACACATACAATAAAAATATTTTATGATTTTATGCCAACCTCGAAGCCTGCCATCCAAGTAATTTATCATATCAATGTCATTACACACACAATAAAATATTTTAAAAAAATATATTAATACTAATAGTTTCGCTGTCTGTCTATCTATGTATCTGTCTATCTATCTATCTGACAAGAACGCTCTAGAGAAAACACAAGCAAATTAAAAACTTTCATAGTAAGACGGAAACGAAATATGACGTCACGTTGGAGCTTATAGTAGAAATTAGTCTACAGCCGGAGAGTGCACACAGTGAAATGACGTCATTGATTCTCGAGTAAACATTGAATTAAAAAGCAATTTCGTCTAGTTTTAAAAGTGGTTTGCGTGAAGAGTATCTTTCATACAATTCTTCTGGTAGGTGCGAAGCCCATCCCCCGCGTAAGAACGTATAAGCCGACCCCCCCTCCCCCAACTCAAAAGAAATGTCGTCATCGATATTTTATAATAAAATTACAGCCTAATTCATGTGTCTAATCTTAAAAGTGGTTTGCGTGCAGAGTTTCTTTCATGCAATTCTTCGGGTAGTGGCTAAGCGCGACACCAGAGTTTCTTTCAGACTTTTTCCTCCACGGAGGGAGGAACTTTTTCTAATCTAAAAAGTGTTTAGCGTGCACAGTTATTTTCGTGCATCTCTTCCGGTAGGGGCAAAGCCCCGCCCAGATTCTTCCTTTAGTTTGTATGATCTTCAAATGCGACCAGTGTTTCTTTCAGACTTTTTCCTCCCCGGAGAGGGGTGGGGGTACTTGAAATTTTCGGGGGCGGGGGTAGAATTTTCTGGGAGGGGGCGGACACTGGAAAAAGTATATAATTATATTTCGGTAGACATGTTTTAGTGTGTGTGTGTGTGTGTGTTGGGGGGGGGTGGTTTTAGGTTAGAGAAAATAGACAGCACTATCAACCTAGCGACCGTTGTATCCTTCCTATACGGGCCATTTTTCTCAACTCTAATAATAGTTACGCTATTCTGTCTGTATGTCCGTCTTTGGGTCTGTCGGTAACGCTCTAGAGAAAAAATACAGGAAGGTTTCAAAATGAAACGAAATATGTACAGCTAGGAGAAGTAAACAGAATAACAAATTGTATTGTTTATTTTTGTGTGCAGTTAAAGAACGAGGAAAATTATCAGTTTAAATACCTGACACAGTTATATCCTTTTAAATCGGTAAAATTGACTGGTCAAAATTATTAATTTTCACTATATATATATATATATATATATATATATATATATATATATATGTATATATATATATATATATATATATATATATATATATATATATATATATATATATATATATATATTATATATATATATATATATATATATATATATATATACATATAATTTTGGATAGGGCTAAAGTTCGACGACATTTGTTCAGATGATGATGAATGTGAATACAATATGATCTGCAAATCTCTGCGGTGTAGTTGTAAACAAAATGAAATCTTTCTTTTGAACAACTTAGCTTGTACTTCAGGTTAGCAAGCACTTGCTTTTGCTTTGTTTATTTGCTCTAAATGTATCTGGATATAATTTTTGTTTTGCCTTTTAATAAATGCTTTAGACTATTAAAACAATGTGGATAGCTTCTCTTGAGCTAAAATATTTTTTGGTGTAGCATCTAAATTTAAATCTCATAGCAATATGTAAACAATTTGAAAATCTCGTTTTTAGACATACTTGTATTTTTAAAAAAATAATGGCTAATAAATCTATAAAGCATCAAATTATAGAATATATCTTAACAATATAACATTTCAGATTCATACATACTTCAAAGATGTAATGAGAGTAATTTATGTATCAACTTTAATGCATGTGACGAAGATTTGAGTAATGTTTTAAATGAAAGATCAACATTTTCAAAGACAGCTTTCTGCAAACTAGGCAAGTAGCTAGAATTTATATTGAAAAAGGAGCTCAATTTAGTTTCCTCTACCTAAACATGTAAATTACAGAAGTAACACATAATCAAAATTAAAATTAACTTTCCTCCATAAACATCTGAAATGAATAAAAAAAATAACTCATAATATTGTACTGTAATTTTTAATTAAATAAAAAAGAAGCACGATTAATTTAGTACAATGAGAAATCAGAAAACTTTTAAGTTTATATATTGTTCTTTTAAGAAAGCTTTAAGGAAAAATATTTTAGATATTTAAGGCATAATTTAGACAATTAAAGAATAATATTCTAGAGAAAAAGTAACCTGTTTAATGCTTAGGTTTTTATTTTATGTTTCGAAAATTTACAGGTTGCATGTTTACATTCACTAAACAAAAAGAAGGCTTAATTACAAGCCCCAACTATCCTCAAGATTATGACAATAACGTGCACTGTCTATGGGTGATTGTTGCTGAATACAGCTCTTATATTACCCTAAGGTGAGTTTTTTAAAGTCCAACTTACGTGAATCTTCCAAATTTGATAATTTATTTTGATGGAAACCATTGATAAAATAGAAAAATAGGTAAGACGCTTTTTGTACATGCCTCTTTATATAGCCTATGAATGCGCTTATTTTTTGTTTTAGAGTCAATGATTTTAAACTGGAAAATGATTGTCACAATGATTATCTGGAAATTTGGGATGGATTAGATGATAATCCTACACTGCTGGGCAGAAGCTGTGGTGATATGAATTCTTTCATCTCTGTCTCTACGACAAATACAATGCATATATTATTTATCTCTAACGATGAACTTATCTTCAAAGGATTTACTGCAACATTTTCTGTCAAGGGTGTGTTTTTATAATATTTTTTTTATTTTGAAAAAAAAAAGTTTAATATAAAGTTTTATATTACCTTTATTGTTAGCTTTGCAAAAAAAAAATTAATATAAATATTGGTACATTTATTCAATAGGCCTGTTAAAAATAAATCGGCTCTCTGTTTGCTGTTTAAGTAATTAGGTCTGACTATAAAAAAAATATCCCAAATATATTAGTATGTCATTAATTTTTTCCCCATTATATTTGTAGAAAAAACCACACTGTTCAAAAGTATGTTAAACTGATTTCTTTTTAATTGTTAAACATTTATTGTTAAATGAAAACTAATGTACAAGAAAATAATTTAATTAAAATAAATATAAAAAAAGTTTTTGTATTATTTAATATTGTTTATATCTTTCCCTCTTTTAATAGAATATGGTAGCTATCCCTGCAATAATTGGCCTCTATCGAGAAATATAAATGGCAGATGCTTATTGAAGATGGATTATAAGACCGATTTTGTGGATGCAGAGGTAGTTACTTATTTATATTCAACAAAAAATACTTCACCGCTTTAGTTACAGTGTGGTGTGCAAAAATATACAAGGAGACACTCTTTCTCTCTATCTCGGATACAGTCATTATCGGCTCAAAATTTAGCACAATAGCTAGGCGATTGGAACAACGTTAAGGGGCCACTACACTCTGTGAACCAAACTTGCACTCAGCAGGGATATGCAAGTAACAATATATTATTAATAGTGAGCAACTGTAAATGAAAATACCACATTTACGACCTTGTTATTGAAGTATCACATTTGCAACTAAAATAACTGTATTGGAATGTAGAGCATCGTTTGCAATTTTAATAGACGAAAAAATTGTTATGCTATATTTTTCTTTCTATTTAAACACACAATTTCAGAAATTTCAGCATCGTATATGTGTACTTGAAACTGTTTTTGATTCTAGGAATATGATTAATATGAAGTTTATTGAAACATAAATTTAGTAAAAATAATTTTTTTCAAGCTTTGTTAGCATTTTATTTTACATATAGAAGCCCCTTAAGAATTGAGCATTTCTGTATGCAATGTTAATAGCCGCTAGACACATGGGTTGCCGGCAGACTTTTGCTTCCTTCCCCAGTGCATCTCACAACCTAGTTTAGAACCCCCCCCCCCCCCTGAACTCTAATGGGTACCTGACTCACGTTATTTAGGAAAGTAAAGTTTGCTGGGGATAGTTCTGACCACACGATCACCTCATTAGCCAAGGTCACACAGACAAATATAAACTATACTTCATCTGCCTCATAGATCGTAAGGGTACTTTTACACATTGTAACTTAAAAATTCTCTTTTTTTTTTACAGAAAAAATGTCAGTCTCTACCAGGAGGAGGGATGGTAACAGGGATCTACTTATCTTCAAGATTGACAGAAATTACACCAAGCCATATAGGCATTGAGCAACCAAGTAAATTTAATACATTAAATGCGAAACACATTGTTAATAATAAAATTAATAGATAGATATATTATCCAAACAGTAATTATTTACCACAAATGAAATCTATTTCTTTTTTTGAAAAAAAATGTATTCTAATACCTTTTTTTAAAAAAAAATATTTCAAGCCTGGGTTAGTCAAGTGTTTCAAGAAAATCATGCCGTGTGGTGGAATGTAAGCTTGACGAAAAGAGTAGGGCCCATCACTCCTAACACTTGTTTGCTTTGGGTTAAATTCGAAGACTATGCAGTGGAGGAACTTCAAAATTGCCGCACTTATAACGCTTACTTTACATGCACTGATAAAAGTAAGAGCTCCGATTTTGTAAAGCATTGCCACAAGTCCATGTACGAAAATGATTATTTTATTTAATGAACAATTAATTTTTTAAAAATATTATCAATATAAAAAAAATTAAAAATAATATTGACGTGCATTACACAAAAATCTGCGTTTAAACCATTTAATTTTTTTTATTAAGGATGATAAACAGTGGGAAAAAAATGCATACAAAAAATATTTAATTCATATTTCATATTTAATTATTTTTTCAGAATCGTCTATGGGTGGTCCGTGTAAAAACGACGAGGAATGTAAAGAAACTTTGATCTGTTTACGGGGTTATTGCGACTGTAAAACAAACAATATCTTGGATAATTCTTTTCACTGTGTGCCACAGGCGGGTGAGTAGATTCCATATTAGTCATGAATACACACCCACGCGCACGCACGCATACACAAATGTGTATGAGTGTGTGTATGATGGGTATGAGTTTATAAGAGAGTGAATGAGTAAGTGTGCATGTATGAGTGTGTGTGTGTATAAGTGTGTGTGAATGAGTGTGTATTTGTACGAATGTGTGTTTGCACGAGTGTGTGTTTGTACGAGTGTGTTAGTACATGTGTGTTTGTACGAGTGTGTTTGTATGAGCGTATGTGTGTGTTTGTATTCAAACACACAAAATCTGCTCATTATCTTTCATTATTCGATGACCCCTAATTCGGACTTTGACCAGTCTCCCCTAGCCAGTCTGCGGATTGGCTGGCTAATGGCCAAAATCACTAACAATTTCAGATTTTCGGCAGTCAATGGGAGGAGATATTGGCCAGTGCGCACATTTTCCGGCCACTGCAATGAGTGCTTTGGCAGACTTCGGGCTTTTATTGTAACTTAGATATTTACATATAGGGCCTATACATATATATTATATATATATATATATATATATATATATATATATATATATATATATATATATATATATATATATATATATATATATATATATATATATATATATATATATATATATATATATATATATATATATATATATATATATATATATATATATATATATATACTATGTTCGTATAAATATTGTAGGTATGTATATACTTAAAATGTCTATTTATATTCTTAATAAATCATGTTATAGGCCTATGTTAATCAAAGCTTGAAGGATACTGAGATAGTCTCAATATTATTATAATTTTAGAATAAGCCTACTAGATGCCCCTCTGTCACTCTAGTCTGTGAAACTGGTCTCAACAACAAAAAGCAAATTGTAAGCAAAACATAAAACACTATATTTTCAGATCAGCATTCAAGCCAAGAAGGGGTTTCTACTTCTCTAATAATAGCACTAACTTATGGAGCTGTCATAAGCATAGTTGCTGCTATTCTTCTTATCATTGTGATTAGACGAAACATGAAAGGTAAAGTTTTTTTTATTTTTAGTTACAATTATTCGCAGTGTTAAATACCGGGGGAGGGGGCAGAGGCGTAGCGAGGGGGGAGGGCGGGCGGGGGGTGCGGACCGCACCGGGTGACACCATTTAGGGGGGTGACACCAAAGCAAAAAATAGTATAATATATAGAGAAAAATTTAAGGGGGGGGGTGCAAATTGAAAGTTCGAGGGGGGTGCAAATCGAAAGTTTGAGGGGGGGGGGGTGCAAAAATAGAAAATTGAAAGTTTGTCCCCGGGAAGAGTCGCTACGCTTCTGGGGGGGGGGGTGACACCATTAAGTGCCGCACCGGGTGACACCCGACCTCGCTTCGCCACTGGGAGGGGGTATGATACGCAGTACGCAAACTGCTCTACTTGACATTAATATAGGGGTTCCACCTAACCAACGAAAAACAAAAGGCTAATTTAGCCACAAAAAATAGGCTATGGCCAGGTCTATTAACAAATCACTCCTGCAAACATTAAGTATTTCGGTGCAACTGCTAAATAGTTAAAAGTTTATGTTTTAAAATATTTTAACTTATTTACAAAAAATATTATCCTCTCTAATGTGCATTTTGGATAGAACAGGGCGACCTTTTTAACGGGAGTGAATGTAAAACGCATTTTATAGATTTTAAATAAAATCTCAACATTATATTGAAATCAATGCAGCAAACATATTTTATGTTTTTCCAATAGTACTAAAATTTACAGCACTGTTCAGTAACAAGTAAGTAGCGAATTTATTATTTTTCCAAATACCTGATCAACTTAAATATTAAGCTTAAATTTTTGTAACTTATATATAACTATTAAATTACCGCTTTAACTTCAATATAGACGAACATAATGGCTTTATTTAGCTCGTTAATTTCGTTAATTCTTGCTCCTACGGCTACACATTACGACTTAGTAAAATCATTTATACATTTTTTGTTGTTTTGTCTAGGCCTGAATCAACATCGGCAGAAAACCCTTTGTTTTTCTACAAAGGTAATATAGGACTCAGATATAAACATATAAGCCAACTTACATTTGTATGTATACTTATGTAAATTAGTAATCACCTATTTACTAAAAAAATTATAAATGAGCAAACACATAGACTCACACACACAGACACACACACACACACATATATATATATATATATATATATATATATATATATATATATATATATATATATATATATATATATATATATATATATATATATATATATATCACAAGTAGCAGTTGATAGTGGCACATTTTTCACGAAATAAAACAAAACTGAAACGAACAAGAACAGTAAGTGGTAACTCACTAAAATAACGAAGCTGAAATGTATGCATTCATCTTGTGATACAAACTAAAGCGATTGTAAATAAAAGCGCCTATTTTGTGGTCAGTGTTTGTACCCTTCAAGAAGGTTTAACGAGAAGTAGACGAGCATAGCAGAAAAACACATGACAGAAGCAAGACTATCTTGGGGGACGACCTAGAAAATAACAGAAACCAATAAAAGCGGAAAGAGCTTTATATGTCGGCCCATTATGTCTCTGTCATATTTTTACCATCCATTGATCTATTATCCGATTAATTAGTTAGAAAAGTTGTTATCTCGTTGATACGTTGGCTTTGACAAATTCAGAGTCATCTCTGGATCAATTGAATGCTTTGAACGTCATTTAACTTAGAGAACCGTTATTTGATAGGAATATAGCTTATAATCCAAAATTCGACCCTGCTCGCATCTCATAGCGTAAAACAGACATGTCACAAAAGAGCTTACAGCAGTTTAAATCACTCTTCTATCGACCTACAAGTCCCAAAATCTTGGACTGTTAATGAGCAACATTGTGTTCATCTTATTCCATTCCTTTCTGTCCTCTCTTCATTGCCTTTTCCATTGTAAATCCCGTCCTGTCTTGTTGTCTTCCCATGTTTACTTCCTCTATTTTATCCAACATTTGCCAATATCTTCAGTGATTTCCAAGCTTTGGAGCATAATTAACATAGATATTTTTTTTAAAATTCGTATTAACAATATGTGATTCTGAAAGTTAAATCGGCATATTGATATCAAAATTGCAATTCGTTATCAGATTGTAATGATAACAGGGGTCATCCATAAATGACGTCACGCTTTTTTAAACGATTTTTACCTCCCCCCCTCCCCTCCGTCACACGTCATCACAAAAAACCAGACCCCCCCCTAAAATGACGTCACACCTCAACCTACAACCCCCCTCAAAATTGCAGTTGAATTTTTTTTAAACATCGATATTTTTCCAAAATCTTGTCTAAACTATTACAATTTATTAAAACAGTTATCTAAAACGCGAAATAACGTCTAAAATTCGTTTTCTAACATTGCTTTTTTATGATGCAAAAATGTGA